GGGACTGTCTCCCACGGCCTGCTTCTCCTGCCTCGTAGCCCGTTCCCTGGAGGGAGTTGGAAAATTCTGCACCACGCACAGCAAAGAGGAACCTGTCCCTTGCAGCTGTGGGTGACTGGGCACCCAGCTCCCACCACATGGGGAAGCAGAAAATGTAGTGTCTGAGACCTTTGGGAAAATGAGTATTTTACTGTTTTTCCTGGTAAGGAGTCATAGCATCAGAGGCTGTGTTTCCAGTAATGGCAAAGTCGCTCCTCACAGGCCAACTGTTCTGCACACGACAACAGGGACCTCAGGCAGAATGCAAAGAAAAGGTCCATGGCCACCAGAGGCAAGCATAGGCAGGCAGAAACCAGGAGCCACCATTGAGAGGCTGGGGGCAGCACTGTGTGAGTGCCCAGCTAGCCCATGTCTGAAGGGAATGGTCCACTTCTGGAAGGGCGAGGGGTCACAGCAGCTGGATAGCAAAAGGAGAATCCCGGATACTGGAAGTTTGGATGACTGTCCCAGAGGGCCATGTGTTGAGGGCTTGGCCCTGGCCCACGCGCTATTGGGAGGTGGAGGACCTTTAGGGGTTGGGCCTAGTGGGAGGAAGTGAGGCCACTGGGGTGTGCCTTGCAGGGGATATTGGGACCTCAGTGTCCCCTCTTCCCTTGGCTTCACGGCCACCATAGGTGGCCAGCATCCTGTGCTCCCACCACCATGTGCAAGTCCTCACTTCTGTTTCCTGACAACAGGGCCGACCCACCATGGACTGAAACTTCCAAAACTGTGACCAAAATAAAACTTTTCCTCTGTAGAGGTTGACTGTCACAGTAACGGCAAAGCTCATTCACACCCTCAGAAGGGAGAGAGCCCTTGGAGGGGCGCCAAATCCTGCAGACCCAGCTCGGCCCACGTCCCTGGCTGAGCCTGAGCTGCATGTGCACGCCAGACTCCAGGCACCAGAGAGGGACGGAAAGCAAACAGCAGCCACATCTGGAAAGCTGGGATTTGAGTCCAGCCCACTTAATTTCCTACTTAAAAAAAACAACAATCAAATCTCTACCCTGCATAACCTGTAACGTCCAAGATATGATCTAAAAACCACCAGACACACAATAAAAGTGTCTGTCAGACATGTGTCCACGTCATGTTGTCTACACCACCTTCACTATAACAGTGATCCAAGTCCTAACATAACCATTAATTGGGTCCTTTAAGAAAATGCAGCCAGGGCCAGTGGCTCATATCTTTAATCCTAGCTACTGGGGAGGCTGAGATCAGAAGGATTGTGGTTTGAGGCCAGCCCCAGCAAATAGTTCACAAGACCCCATCTACAAAATAACCAGAGCAAAATAGACTGGGGGCATGGCTCAAGTGGTAGAGTGCCTACTTTGTAAGCATGAGGACCTGAGTTCAAACCCCAATCCTATCAAAAAAAAAAGAAAAGAGAAAATGTTTGCTAATTGGCTTGCCTAGAGTGTTTGCCTAGGAATCATGAGGCCCTGAATTCAAACCCCTGTACTGCACTCCCTACCCGCCTCCCCCTCACCAAAAAAAAAGAAGTTTATAAACTGGTGTGATGACACACACCTGTAATCCCAGGACTCAGGAGATAGAGGCAGGACTGTGAGGTTGAGGCCAGCCTGAGCTACACAGAAAGACCTGTCTCAAATGAACAAAAAGAACAAAAGAATGAGAGAGAGAGAGAGAGAGAGAGAGAGAGGTTTGCTGAGCAATGCTCAAGGGAAAAGACAGTCAGCCTCGTGATGGTCCAGATGTAGAAATTAGCAGACCCATTGGTGCTGAGCTCACGAGGGACTATCTTCCAACTCCACAGGCGCTCTCATGGAGGAAGAGAAAATGTGCCAGGGAACAGAGGTTCTAGAATTGAACGGTGCAGAGTCTGAATGGAAGGACAGAGCCGGGCGGTATAGATGACTTTGCCCTTCACCGTTGTCGTGCTGGAGGTGAAGCCACCAGCTTTCAGCCCTGAGGACAAATGTCATATGCTGAGGACACAGAGCAGCAGGAGGAAAGGAGTCTGAGTTCCTCAGCCCTGCACCCTTGGGCTATCTCTGTTATGTACAGCCAAATAACACTCCTAACACTTTCTTTATTTTCTTTTTGCAGTGCGGGGGACTGCGAGAGCTCTGCTTGAGCAACACCCCCAGCTCTTTTTTTATTGGGTGGGGGGACAGTGTCTTTCTATGTAATACAGCTGGCCTCAAATTCACGATCCTCCTGCCTCTGTCCCCTGAGTGCTAGGATTGCAGACTTGAACCACCATGCCTGGCTCCTAACTGAGACTTTGACAAACAGATCGAGCCAGCCTCAGAAAAGCAGCACACAGAGAGATGTGTGTTCACTACACGAGCTGTCATGTGCTCAATGCCCAGCTAGCACTGGGCATGGGTGAATTCCTGCCCTTCCTTTCCTGTGTCAGGGCTGAGACTGGTGACCGTAGATGGAGAGAGAGAGCAGCCTCAGAACTATGACCACCACTGAGATAAGGAGATGAAGGCAGGCCAGCTGGGAGCCTGTGCCCATCCAGCGTGGCGGCAGCTGGGCACTCAGGGAAGCCTGCTGCCCGCCTGGAGCCAGGCCAGGGGCTGGCAGAGGCAGCTGGCTCCTGGACCTGTCTCCTTGGTCTTGGATGGAGGCCGCCGCCAGTTTACCAGCCAAGATGAGGGTAAGAGGGGTGGGCAGAAGTTTTCAAAACCCAGGCTTCAGCCCAGACATTTTTTTCTTAAGGGCCTAAAAGATTTTTTAAGCCCCTGTGGCAGTCCAAGGCAAGTTCTGGTTTGGCATGGAGACTTTGGAGGTGGATATAGAAAACAAACAAAATAACCAACCCAACAAAGCAGGCCGGTCTCAGGACCACCTACACAGCCACAGAGGACGCACACAATTTTCTGTTTCAGAAGGAAGTGTCCGCGTTTGGGGGATCCAGGGTCTGATGCTCCACACCAGCCCTGCCCTGGGTCCCCAGGCACTCTGGGCTGGGTAGGCAGGAAAAGGAGGACCCATGCCAGGGGTCAGAATCAGGAGGGGCCTTGGACCCAGTCAGAGGTTCTTCCAGCTCCTGCTGTGCTCCTGCAGGGCCTGGGATGCCCCCTCTCCACATGACTGTTCCACTCTTTTGAGCATTCTTTTCTGTGTTTGGTTGAACGCTGTCTCCCTGTGACATGCACCCAATAGAATTAGTTGTTCATCGCAACACAGTGACACTGATCGCGTATGGCGGCCGTCGCCTCATAACCACGTGCTCAGCGCTGCTGGAGTTGGCTTCATGCATCCCCATAACCGTTCCATGGTGTGGGCAGTGTTAGTGCCATTGCCAAGTGAGATGACTGGTGCTCAGAGAGGTCCAGTGACTCTCCTGGTGTAACACAGCTGTAAACAGCAGAGCTGGACTGGGCAGGGATGTCTGAGTCTCAGTCCCCTCCTGCAGGGGCATCTATATCTCATGCCTCTGAGCCCTATTCCTTGAATTATTCTTGTGACAGCTCTAGGAACAGGTGTGTGCCCCACATATGACAAAGGAGGCATAAAAGCAGGCTATTGGATGAAGCCAGGAACTGTTCTCATTCCTAATAGAGACACATGGGTGACATCCTTCCACTGCCTTTCTGACTATAACTCAGGTGGAGGGGACAGTATATAACCTGGCAGGTGTCCTGGCAGGATGGAGGACAAGAGGCTGGAAGGATTGTGGGTGTGTCCTGAATCTCACTAGCTGACCCCTGGGCCCTCCAAGTGATACAGACCCAGCGACTTCCCCGTCTGAGCTTCCTGTCCTTGGTGACCTTGGTTGGGGTTCCCACCCAGGTGCAACCCCAAGGTGCTCAGCATTCAGCCCAGTGTCAGGACACTCACAAAGTCCTGTGGCCTCCCAGACAGTCTTGCAAGAAGACCCCCAGCCCCTCCTCACCTCCTCCACGATAGCCACAACTCTGTCAGAGGTTTGTCAGGGGCACTGGGTGGTGGGGTCCTGGGATAAGAAGCACCTCGGGAGGCAGGAAGATAGCAGGACTATTTCAGTCTGTTTTGGACTGAATTGTGTCCCCTTCCGAACCCTATGTGGGAACCCTAACCCCCCAAGGTGACTGTATTTGGATATGGGGCCTTGAAGGAGGTAACTGAGGTTCATAGGTCCTAAGAGTGGGGCGCTAATCGACATGATGGGGCCCTTGTAAGACAGGAGGGAGACACCAGGTTGCACACACAAACAGGAGAGGCCACAGTGAGAAGGTGGCATCTGCAAACCAAGGAGAGAGGCCTCAAAGGAAGAACTAAAGTGGTGGTGAAGCCATCCTCCCTGTGGGATTTCCTTACACAGCTGTAGCTGAGATGGGATCAGAAGAACTCGAACCTGTCACCACTCACAGTAGCATCCGAGGCTGTGGGAAACGCAGTGCCCAGGCCCTGGCCTAGGCTTGCTGAACCAGGTCTTCATTTTGGCGTACTCTTTCCCCTTGGAAGTCCGTCCCCCCCACTGGTACAGGGTTCATGACATCATGATCACATCAGCTCGGTGCACACACAGCCTTCTTGGAGCAGTGACATGTCCCAGACAGCTAAGAGCTCACGAGGAGGTTTTGAAAGATGCATTAGAGATGTTTTAGAAATCAAACCAGTTTTATTGAAACAATAGCATCAACCAACGTGACCCCTGCTCACGCGAAGCACAAAAACCATTTACAATAAACTTTTGTACATAGGAAGTAGTAAAATACATCATTTTTCATAGAAAAAAGCACACACGTAAACTGCGGGCTGAGTGAGCCTACAGACAATTGAAAAGTCAGCACACCCTTCAGAACACGACTGGGTAAAAGTCCAAAGCAAACAAATGTTTCACTGGGGGACAGGAGACATGATAACAGGGGTGTCACCTCTTCAAACACGGGTCAAGTGTTGATGGTACCAGGAAGCCATGGAACAATCAAAATTAGAGTGGTCCCGGATTACAAGGGTTTACAATTTGTAGTTTTGTTTTCACTTTTCTGAAAAAAAAAAAAAAATTCCTGTTTCAGACTGTTGGTGAGGATGAAGAAGTCCTGGGTGAGGCCCCCGTCCTGTTAGAAGGGCCGGCTAGGGAGCCCTAAGGAACCTGGGAACTGAACTATAAAATGATGGTGCCGACTAACACTGGAAGTTTTGAATGGCCCTTGGGTGGACTCCTGTGGACTGGTCACTTAACTCTAGAAACACACTTGCCTCGGCCTCCCCAGGCTGGGCACAAAGCCAGCGTCTGTAGCACACCTTGCATCCAGAAGCTCCCCAGATGTTCAGTGGTGACTGGACACACTGCTGGACCGACAGGCTGACCAAACGCCTCACTCTGATAGCTGGGATTGAAGAGTTGGTGCCTAGGACTGAGCCAGCCCAGCATGTGCAAAGCAGAAACCGTCCGCTGGGTTTAGCTCAGTGTTTAGTTACTTTTCACAACTCCCCTTAAAAGGATTTGTTTTAAAAAACTATTAACTTTCAAATCCTGCACTAATTAAGGAGGCACTCAAAAAAGCACCACCATGGGTCCCCGGGTAGAGGTCCTAGTCCAGACTTGCTTAATTTTCTGTTTTCTTTTTTCTTGTCCTTTCTGCTACATCTTTTGCCTGAGACATATTTGCATGGGGAATAGCTCCAGTTTAAAGCCAGAGTTCCCAGAGATCTGTCGGGTAGCCCGGCGGCCGAGGGCGGAATTTTACCTTCTGCAGAGAACTGCTCTTTACAAAAGGGTGTTTCATTTCACTGTGGTTTGGGTCGGCCACATGAAGAACTTTTACAAGTGGTGGAAGCCAGAGCTCACTGCACTCCTTGGATCCTGGGGAGCACTGGCAGGATCACAGCGACAAAAACAGGAAAGGGGGGCCCTTCCAGTGTGTCATGGTCCCTGGCCGCTGGTGCGCCCTGGAACTCTTTCATAACTACAAACCAGGCCGCTAACCTTGGTGAGGAATGTGCCCAGGAATCCAGGCCTCCACTGCTAAAAACTAGGTCACCCGATGCAGGGGGTCTACACATTGAGTTGTCACCTTTCAAAAGCAGCAACGAAGCAGCAGCCGTTCTTGGCTGTCCCCCTAGACATCTCAGAGACCAGCAGGTAAGAGAACACAGGCTGCCTTCCACACAGGGCCACATGCAAAGCAAAGTCCCAGGTGAGCACCAGGACACCTTAGCTAGCCTGGCAAGGCGGGGCGGGAGCCACGATGGGAAAGAGTGAAATTCATCAGTCCTTGATGAGACCAAAGGTTATGGCAGAAAACAAACAGGCCACACAGACAGACGGAGGTAAAGACCAAAACAAGAAAAACCTTGGAGTTACTGCTAAACTCTAGATAAACCAGCACTGCTGTGTACATGACCAACTGCACGTGGCCATCTCAGAGGGACCCATGGCTCGGTTTGAGCAAGGACGCCACCTGGGTGGAGCCCAAGTCTCTCTCCTCTTGCCCTCTCCTTTCAGTCCCATTTGTCTGACCAGCAAACATTAAATCCATTTTCCCCATTGGTAGGATGGACTGGGGCTCTTTCCATTTAAATAATGACTTTCTCCTCCTCCTGAAACCCACCCTGCACCTGCTCCCTGTGCCTCTTCCCCCATCCCCTGCCCCTTGATGTCTCAGGGGCCCAGAATCCTCTCTCTCCACCCATGAGAAAACATGTGGCAAGGAACTTCTCGGCCACTGTTCCCTTCAACAGCTGGGTCAGATCCCTAAGGACAGGAGATACCAGCTGGAGATGTCCAACCAAGACCCTGAGGATGCTGCACAGTGAGGGATGAGATGTTGATCTCACCAGGATGTGACATTGCTGTTGAAAGGAAGTTTCCCGATCCTCCATATCCCTACCCCACCCCCAAATGACAAAATAAAAACAGAAAGCAAAACCCCCAAAGCCCTGTAGAAGGAGTCCCTTCTCCCCGGCGCTGGGCCTTCGTTCACGGCCTGACTGCAAAGATCCGGAAGGCCCCTCCATCCTGGGGTGCACTCAGGCTGCAAGAGAAGGGAGAGCAGTGTTACTTGCTGGCGGGGTGGCACAGCTGCAGGGACCGAGCCTGCGTGAGTCAGTGTAGCAGCCAAGCCCACGCTCCTGGCAAACGAGCTTCAGTCTGAATCTGGGTCAGAACTGCTACTTCCTTTTGACTCAGGGGTTTACTGGCCTTTGTCTGCCCAACTGGACTCAGCCTCCAAGACTTCTGCCTGGCTGTCACTACCTCCTGTCGACCCAAATAGCAGCCATCTAGGTGACCGAGTCGCAGGTTGTATACGTCTCTGCCACCCCAACCAGGTGGGAGCTGCTCTGTATGGAGAGTCCTGGGCCAGCCCCTCTATGGGGCGCCTGTTGCCTTCCTCCTGGGGCAGGGCTATCCTTACTGTTGCCATTGTACTAGCAAGGAAACTGAGGCACCAAGAAATCAAGTGACTGACTGAAGGTCACATGGTTAATCAAAACCACCCTTGGCAGGGCAAGGACTTAAGTCCTTCAGCTACTCATACTTAACAGCTTTATAGAAAGTGTGACATTCCACCTCTGTAAGTGTACAATTAAACGGTTTTCAAAGACATTACAGGGCCATGAAATCATCCCTACAATCCAGTGTTAGGTCATTTCAGTCACCCCAAGGAGATCCTTCCCGCCATTCACACCTCCTCCCCCGCCCCCCGACGTCCCTGGCAACTTCTGTCTCTAGGATTTGTCTGTTCTGAGCATTTCACATAAAGGGGTCCATACACTAATGTGGCCCTAGGTCTGCCTGGTTTCACACAGCATGGTGTTTTGAGGTTCACCCATTCCTTTTTCTGTTTTACTATGTCTCTGTCCTTGATTTGTAGACGTTGGTCCCTTTCCGCTCCTACTGTCGTGAACACTACAGCTCTGAGCACTTGTGTGCAGGTTTAGATTGGGCAAATGTTTTTTACTCTTCCGTGTAAATGCTTAGAACCTGGATCGCTGGCTAATCTGTTACATACACGCTGGACTTTTTAAAAATTGCCAAAACAGCTCCTGAAGTAGCCACCACTCCACCAGCAGCACAGTGTCTTGGGTTCTCTGCACCCTCGCCAGTGTTGTCACTGTCTCACAGCCATTTCCTGGGCATGCAGAGGACAACCCTTGCATCTTCCTAATGACTCACAGCCCCAAGCATCTTTCCTGTGCTGAGTGGCCACGCTTGTTCCTTCACTGGGGACATGGCTCTGTAGACCACTTCGCGAGTCTGACTCGTATGCGTGTGAGTGTGTGTATGCGTGTGTGTGCATGTGTGTGAGGGCGTGCAGTCCCATGGACAGAACCCACAGCCCTGCACACGATAGGCAAGTGCTCCACCACTGAGTTGCAACCCCAACCAAGTTTTCCTAGTACTTAACTGGGTTCTCATCTTACTAAGAATTTATATACAAGCATGCACACACACACGTACACATGCATACACACTCACACGCACAATGGGAAATGCTTTATCAAATACACAATTTGATAACATTTTCTCCCACTCTGTAGTGTGTCTTCATTTTCTTTTCTTGCTTTTTTTGGTGGCACTGGGGTTTTGAACTCGGGGCCTCACACTTGTTAGGCATCTTTTAATTTTCTTAATGGTGTCTTTTAAAAGCAAAAGTTTTAGACTGTGATGAGGTCCAGTTTATCAGTTTTTTTCACTTATAGATTCTGCTTTTGGTGTTATATTTAAGAAACCAGACTCATGTTTATTTTCTTCTAAGAGTTTTATCCTTTCTACCTCTTGTATTTCAGTCTTTGATCCATTTTGAGTTTCTATGTACATGTAAGGCAAAGGTCCAACTCCACAGTTGTGCAACCAGGGGTGTCTTTCTACATCAAGATTAAAGTAGAAAAGGAGATTCGTAGCTGCGCTTTTCAGTCTTTCCATAGGTCACCCGTGCACATTGTTCTAAATTATAAAGGTATAAAAGACTCTCCTCCCCTCCTTGAGTTCTCCTTCCCAGAGGCCTCCTGTGCACAACTGAGCCATCACAGTATTTCATCCTCATTTCCACGCAAATATCATACATACTACTATGTGCAAGCTGGCACATACACACTACTCAGCACCTTGTTTTCTTTACTTAGTAATATGCCTTAGGCTGGGTGCCAGTGGCTCAACACCTATAATCTTAGCTCCTTAGGAGGCTGGAATCAGGAGGATCAAGGTTCGAGGCCAACTTGGGCAAATAGTTCTCGAGACTCCATCTCCAAAATAAGCAGGGTACAATGGACTGGAGGTGTGGCTGAAGTGGTAGAGCACCTGCTTTTGCAAGTGCAAAGCCCTGAGTTCAAACCTTAGTCCCAGCAAAGATAAGTCTTGGAATTTGTTCTTCATTCTGCTTATTCAGCTACAGAGTATACCACTGGATTTAAGTACTGTACATGCCACTGGGTCCCTCCAGGTGGGTGCTTGGTTCTTTACAATCTTTTGCTTTGTAAATGAAGTCATCATTGACAGGGGTGGAGTATGAATCTCTAGAGGGCCAGAGGACTGCTCCTAAGAGCAGAATTGTTGGATCAAAGCACAGGTACAAGCCAGGTGTGGTGGGCAGCCTGTGACCCCAGCACTCGGGAGGAAGAGAGGCAGGAAGGATCGGGAGTTCAAGGCCAGCCTGGGCTACATAGTGAGACCCTGTCTGGAAGGAAGGAAGGAAGGAAAGGGAGGGAGGAAGCGAGGAAGGAGGGAGGAAGAAAGGAAGGGAAGAAGGAGGGAGGAAGGAGAGGGAAGAGGGAGGGAGGCACAGACGCCTTTGTGAGCTTGACAACTGTCAAATGACCGCATCAGTGTTGTACCAGTTGGCACTTCCTGGGGCCAGCGTGCTGTCCAGCTTTCTGCTCTCAGCCATGGAAGGTGGGGAAGGGTGGCCACATGGTGTCGGTCAGCTCCCTGCTCGTTCTGAATGAGTTCTGTCGAGGTTAGCAGCCCAGTCACGATCCCTAAGCACAATGTCCTTCAGGGTCTCCCCTTGGGACATGAGACCCTAGACTGAACCAGATCCCTGGGCTACACAGATGGCCTGCCCAGCTCAGAGCTCTTTAGTCCCCGGGGAGAGCTGCCTGGAATGCCTGGATGTTTTCCTGCCTTTCCCCATGGCAGCTTCATGCTCTTGGCTACCCTGGGATTGAACCCTGGAAAGGCATATCAGATGGGAGCTCTCGGTGAGGTGGAGCTGTTTGGCAAAGCCAAGAACCAGACACAGCAGAATGCTCAGCCATGCAGCCTCCAGAGCCAGCTCCCCATGGCCAAGCAGATGGAGGGGGGCCAGCTGCCCAGGCCTGGGGTCACATGGCCCCTGCTGGCTCCTAGAAAGCTCTAATTTCAGGGCCTTCCACAGGTTCTGGGGCTGAGATTTCCCTGTATTCTCTGTCAAAATGAGTGGGATGGGAGCTTCCCCTTCCTCTCCCACTTGTGACAACCCATGCTAGGGAAAGACAGGGGACTGGAAGGGGCAGTGGTCCCACCTTCACAGAGCCCCCCACAACCCTGACAAGGTAGCTGCTGTCCAGGTGGGGCATCTGACCTAGCGTGCCTGGGTTTTATGCCCAGACCTACTGACCACCCCCATGATGTTCTGTCCACCTTGGAGGGGCCAGGCCTCACTGGGCTGGGTAAGTGCTATCAACACAGTGAGCAGAAGCCACCACAGTGGTCAAGTACAGCTATTAGCACAGACTTGTCCCCGGGCACAGGGTCCCCTAGGCTTGGGCTGCTCAAGGGAGCCTTTGAGGGACCCATCTTCTCAGGCCTCAAATACTTATTAAGCTCTGGTTACACTGGGTAAGTTGACAGCTGCATGCGTTCACAGAAATGAGTAGATTTAGTAAGTTATCACCCTCTGTCCTCCTTCCCCAAGTCTGACTCTCAGCTCTCTTTACGAGTTAGCTTGTGACTCCCACACGTCTGAAGACTGCTGAAGATAACACTTTTGTGCAATTTCCATAAAAATTGCCAGACAACTTTTAGAAAGTATACCAAACAGATTCCATAAAAAGTATAAACATTTTTGATAAGGGACAAGGCTAGCCGGGCACCAGGGGCTCACACCTGCAATCCCAGCTACTCAGGAGGCAGAGATCAGAAGGATGGTGGATCGAAGTCAGCCTAAGCAAATAGTTCATGAGAACCCCATCTTGAAAAACCCTTTGCAAAAAAAGGGCTGGTGGAGTGCATCGAAGTGTAGGCCCTGAGTTCAAACCCCAATATTGCAAAAACGAGGGGACAAGACATAGTGGCATATGCATATAATCCCAGTAACTCAGGAGGCAGAGGTAGGAGGATCACAATCCAAGGCAAAAAGCGTGAGACTCTATCTGAAAAATAATGGAAACAAAAGGGCCAACGATGTAGCACAAGTGGTGGAGCACCTGCCTAGCAAGAACAAGGTTCTGAGTTCAAACCCCAGTACTGCCAAAACAGTCTTTTTGATAGAGGGCATTAAAAATCCCTCAACCAGTTCTAAACAAGTTGCTGGGCTCAGCAGTTTGTCTGGCACTTTGCCAATGTTTACTGAGGACCCACTGTGTGCCGGGCACTGGGCTTAGTGTCAGAGGGTTCTGGGCTTCATGTAGCCTCGGCCTGGGTTGGGGAGAAAACAGCAAAACACAACTTTGGAGAATGACAAGGCCTGGGAGGGAAATGGCCCAGATCAGATCAGGGAGGAAAAGGCGATGACAGAAGGAAGGATCAGGCAGAGGATGCTCCTGGGGGTAGTGGTGTTTGTGTGACAAAGGAGGACCCAGCCACAGACACACATGGGAGCTGAGAAGGCCCAGGATTGGATGGCAGCAGGTACAAAGGCCCTGGGGTTGACATGGGTGTGTTCTAGGAACAGAGAAGCTAGAGAGGTGGAAGTGCAAAAATGAGGTGCTGGGGGTAAAGAGGTTGGCAGACTGGAGCAGTGTGGCCCTAGGTAGATTTTATTTCCAGCGTGATAGAAAGCCATTGAAGGAGACGTCTGTGTGTTGCATAAGGAGAGGGCTGCAGTGACTGTAGTTATTCTGCTAACAGGAAGTTACCTAAGGAAACTATCAGGAAGTACATAGGCTTGTGTAAGATGTTCTTTCTACTGTTGTTTATTACAGTAAAAGAAAAGTAACAACCCGGATGTGGGTTCATGGTCTAGCCACAGTCTCAGTCACTGAGACAACAGCGTGGCCTGGCTGTACAACATAACTTGGAAAGCTATCCACACCTGATTACCAACACTAACACAGTGATCCCATCTTAAAAGTGTGTTTGTCTGTGAGCAGAACATCTGAGAGGACGTGTGCCAGTGTTTATGGTGGCTGTTGCTGCACTGTTGAGTGCTATTAATTTCTTAACAGTTCTCTAACCCAGAGGGAGAAGAGGGAAGAGGAGGGAGAAGGGAAAGAGAAGGGAATGGGAAGGGAAGGGGAAGGGAAGCGGAAGGGAAGGGAAGGGAAGGAGAAGGGAAGGAGAAGGGAAGGAGAAGGGAAGGAGAAGGGAAGGAGAAGGGAAGGAGAAGGGAAGGAGAAGGGAAGGAGAAGGGAAGGGAAGGGGAAGGGAAGGGAAGGAGAAGGGAAGGGAAGGGAAGGGAAGGGAAGGGAAGGGAAGGGAAGGGAAGGGAAGGGAAGGGAAGGAGAAGGGAAGGGAAGGAGAAGAAGGGGAAGGGAAGGGAAAAGAAGGGGAAGGGAAGGGAAAAGAAGGGGAAGGGAAGGGGAAGAGGAAGGGAAGAAGACCCTTTCAAAGCCCTGGGTGGGGGTGGAGTGCATTATGGGCTCTGCAGAAACCCTGGGAAGTGCCTCCCTCTGGGGCCAGCCTGGAAGGCCAAGCTGGGCTTCAGCCTCTCGTGTCCTGAAACTCAGGAAGAGCTCGAGCCATCTGGCTGCTCTAACACAGCCTGGATCAGGGGAGAGGACAGCTGGTTCCGGAGCAGGAGCAGTGTGACCCATCAGTCCAGGAGGGCCAAGATGCTAGCTACATGTTAGCAGCTGGCCTCAGGAGTCATGGAACCCAAAGTTAAAAGGACAGCAGAAGAGAAGGCCCTGAGCATCCTGGCTTTTTAAAGTGAGGTTTCTTGTCTATTATAAAGATATCATTGATGTGTCTGTATGACATGCGTGCCTCCCCACATGGATATCTGTGTGGAAAGGAGGGGTTCATCTGTGTGTGTTTACATATGATCCCTTCTGTTCTCTGCTGTGTCCCTACCCTCTAAGACAGTGGCCAGCACAGAGGGGGTGCCTGTAAGTGCTGAACGAATGCACTAGTCAGACAAAAGTCCCCATCCCCCCCACCTCTGCATATCAGTTATGTTTTTAAAGACCAAGTGACCAAAAAGGCTCTCGGTCAGTGTTGGTGTGTTTCCCAATCTCCTTGTGAAATCTGCCTTAAAAAATGGGCCTGGTTTAAGAAAAGCCCTGCACTGATTTGCACCCAGGTGCCTGCAGACGGGACACTCAGATCCCCCAGACACCTCTCCCCTCCTCTGGTGGGTGGAGTGAGGGAGAAGGGCTGTCCTCATGGGGTCTCCTTTCTGCACAGTCACCTTTCACAACTTCCAGAAAATCTCTTCTCAAAAGGAGCATTGTGAAACCAAGGCCACTGTGAAGGAAACCAAAGTGTACCCTGCAAACTGGGTACACAGCCATTCTGGGGAGCCTGGCGGCTTGTGCATTTGATTGAAGGATTCCCTACACTTAAAATGCTATCTGCCATGCACCTATTGCAATATGTCTTACACCCTCATTGCCCATGGGGCCCTCTGTGACTTCTCCAAGGTTCCAGCAGGCACTGGGAACAGAGCTACCCTCCAGCTCCAATTCCAACTGGGTGGGGGCTCTGAGGAAGTTTCTTGGCCTCACTGCCTTGTGTGGTGAGCATGGCGGAGGTCTTGCCCACCGAAGGGGAGGATGGGTGCAGCCAGGCCTAGGGCGTCCCTACAGTTGGAGCCTCACCACCAACGAGTACCTGGACAGTAAAACTGAACCCTGTTGGATGCCTCAGCTCCCTGTGTCTCCCCTCCCTGCTACTAGGGTCACATTTCTGCATCACTTGTCCCCACATGGGCAGAGATCCAATTGACGTGCTCCCTGCTAATTCCAGGTACCTGGCACCGTGGAGGACACTGTGTGAATGAGTGCATGTTGAAGGGTTGGTGTGAGGAGAGTGAGTGAGAGATCTTTTGTAACGTGCTTTATCCCTGTCCCCAGAGAGGTCATGTGGGTGTCTCTTATGACTGGGTCCCTGGGCCCTACGTGAACAGAACTACAGTGTCTCCAGGTTTAAAGACAGACTTCAGAAGTCACGGCATAGCAGCAAGGGCACATGTACTGAGTCATGCCCTCTCATTTGACCCTCTTGGTGACCCTTCTGATGGAGAAGGGACCCAGGCAGTAGGGAGACTGCCTGCCCAAGGTGACTAGGCTGGAAGTAGAGCAGGTGGACAGGCTGCAGCCCCTCCTGGAGTCCCTGACTGCAGACAGGGCGATTGTGATGTGCTTTGCTAGCAAGTTCCTGGTTGATTTGGAAGCCGCTGGTCTGGGGACCTACCTGGCGACCTGCCACCCTACTACGCCTGGAACAATGCTATAACTCACCCTCTACAGGTGAGGTAGCACAGGCTGACCTGCACAAGCACGGCTCTGGCCCACAGGCTCAGGAGGGAGCCGAGAAGAGTGGGGAGGCGGCAGAAGCTGCACCAGCATCCTTTCTACACTGCAACAGGTACCAGTGCCATCCATGCCCAGAAAGGATGATAGGGACATTCACAGTGACAGCATGGTTGAATTGGAGTGGGTCTCATAGGAAGAGAGGACAGCACCCAGAGGTAGAAGCCACCTAATGACCTGCTGTCTCCCACCTATGGAGACCTCAGCAAGGGCCTGGTCCCAGCCCACAGGGAAGCTGTCTGATATCCCACAGCCCCCAGGGGCAGAGAACACAAAGTACAGCCAAGCCACCTCCCCCGCACCCAGGCTATCTTCTCTTAAAAGGGCACAAAGGGCTCACTCAATAAATAGCTTCCTCGAACCTCCTTCCAGCCCGGCCAAGAAATTCTACTTAATCAGCCACCCCATCTCCTACCCACTAAATCAGTGGGAATTTCCCTTCATTAAGCTTTTCCCACACAAGGGTGCAGAGGCGGAACCTGTTAACTCCAGCCACATGGCTGACGGCCGGGTCACTGTGCAGCACCCCAGGAGAAACAAGCATGACTGGGCGACACTGACTGATGTGTGTCTCCTCACATGTAGGCAGCCCTGGGCCAGGGAGCCTGGGGAGGGAAGGCTGGTGCCAGGTCTAGGAAGCCAGGACAACATTGCATCCGAGTTTATTTTCCTCAAATTTAACACGTCCAGCATCTGCCTGTTAGGGCCAAATGTGTCCCCAGATTCCTATGATGAAGCCACACCTCCCAATGAGTCTGTGTGAAGATGGGCCTTTAAATTGGAGAATGAGGTGACGAGGCCCTTAGGTGCCCCGATCCAACCTGACTGTGCGCTGATAGGACAGACTGGGACACAGACACTGCACAGAGGCACAGCCATGTGAAGACCCAAGAAGGTAGCCATCTGCAAGCTGGGGGAGTGAGGAGAGTGCTCAAAGAAATCGGGCCTGCCTGCACTTGAACCGTGGCCACAGAGCCCCAAGGGATCTGCTAAGTGGCTGCCTGGCCTGTGCTACTTTGTCAAAGCAGCCAAAGCCGACTAACACAGCTCCCACCCCAGCCTGGATCTGCCAGGGGAGGTGGGACAATTGTCCCATTTTATGACAGATGAACTGAGGCTGGTAAAATTAAAATCGAAGCCAGGCAGCTCTCAGGAGGAAACCCCAGGATGGACACAGGTCTTTGGACTTCAGAGCCAGTGGCTAGCTTCTCTCAAGAGTAACATGTGAGAATGAGGACATGCAAAGGAAATGGGTTGGCCCTACAACAGAGTGGGGCTTTCCTGAAGAACATTCTGGAAAGGTATCCCAAAGCCTCAGAAATACCACTGGGGATTTGAGGAAACAGTTATGGTGTGTGCCAACACCCCCTCAAAAGGATGCTTATCATGGCGCATCAGTCACCTGAAGAGGGACAGCAGTAAAGAGCAGCACATGCAACCCCGACTGGGCCCTCGTCGCCAAGGACAGGAGGAGCAGGACTGAAGAGCAGCCCTGTGAGCTCTTAAGTGACAGCACAGAGCAGTCAACCTAACGGTGCTTCCAGAAGACCCTAGACACACATCACGTCCACGACACCTGCTAACAATCCAACTTCACAGAAGAGAAAAGCGAAGCTTAAAGACACCGGCTGGTTGGCTCAAGGTACCAAGCAGAGCCATCCCTCCCCCACCCTCACCCTTCCCCTGGCTCAGCCAGTGTCTGAGTTACTCTATGTAACTGTATCACTCTGCAGCTTTCCAAATGAGTACGTAACTATGCTTTGGTCCTATGTGTTTTATGGGAAAAAATGCACCTGCCTGAATACACATACACACGTACACACACACATACATACACCCCCCCTGCCAGAGAAAGGACCAGGAGGCTACACACCAAAAAATCCAACGGTAATTCCCTGAAGTAATCGTTCATGGATGACTATTTTTCTTTGGGCTTATCTGATGTTTCTACAGATTCTAAATTTTCTACAAAAGCCTACATTGGTATTAGGGGGAAAAAAAGTTCTTACCTTAGAACAAAGGAAGAGAAGAAAAAAAACCCCAGGCTTGACCTGGATGTCCTGGTGACGGTTAATTTTAACGGGGGTGACGAGTGAGAGACCCGGCCCTACCTTTCAGACTGCACGCCGTTCCTGAGAGAGCCCACGTAGGTCTTCTTTTTGTCCACAGGCATCACATCGACGTAGCCCCCGCTCTCGTCACTGAGGACACCTGCGTGCACGGCGGTCTTGCAGATGCTCGAGGTCTGCAAACAGGATAGCTGTGGTCAGAGCTGGTGAGGCTCCTGGGCCCAGCCAGGCTGGGCCTTACCATTATTGGCTCCCTGTTGGTGACGCACATCAAACCCTCAGAAATAGCCAGAGACCTGGCATCATTTATCACTTGTTCAACAAATAATTTTCCAAGTATTTTTGCAATGTGTCAGCCACTGGCAATGTCACTTTGGCTATGAAGAAAATCGTAACAGACCATGAGATACTATGACTGGGCAGAGGGGGGCTATTTTAGAGAAGTCACCAGGAGAGACTGAGGGACAAAAGTCACAGCCATAGAAATACCTCTGCATGGAGCGTTTCCAGCAAGAGGGAACAGCTCATGTAAAGACCCCGGGGCGGGAGTGAACGTGTCATGTCTCAGGAGGACAGAGAGGGCCAGGTGGCTAGATATGGTCAATCAGGTGGACTGTGGACACAAGTGGACAGGGCCTGTCACAGGTAGGACCTTGGGGTGTGTAGGTGCTCCAAGGTTCCAGGCAAGTGCTTGGGCTCAACCTGGGGCAGGATGTGCTATTGTTCAGCCTTCAGGTAGCGTGGGCCCAGGGAATAAGGCCCCAGGAGTAACTTCTCCAGGATCTTTGCTTATCCAATAGAAGATGGTGCAGGATGGGAGGGTTCAATTCCACCTTTTCCACAGCCAAGCAGGTGTGTTCAGGGCAGGGTGGTGGCTGGTGCTTGCATTCAAGGCTGCTTCTGGGTAGTGACATGACCTACTGGGGCAGAGTCACCCTGATCAAGGACCAAGTGATTCTGAAGCCCACTCAAGGTTGAGAGCTGTCGACCTCCCTCACCCAGGCAATGTTCACCATCCTTTCCTCGGACTGTGCTAATCTCGGTGTTGGCTTCATTTGGGGGGGGGGTGCTGGGGATGGAATCCAGGGCCTCATGCATGCTTGGCAAGTGCTTTGCCACACAGCCGCACCCCGAGCCAGTGTGCCATCTTTGCTGCACTGCAGTGTCTTTCCGCTCCCATACTCTGAGCCTCCTGCCCCAGGGGCTCTGGGGGAGCCCGGGACTCAGCATCGTAACCACCTCTTGGCTGCACTTGCTGGGGTGAGGAACCGCCTCCTTCACAGCACCCAGGGCTCACGCTCACCCTGCCCAGGCTCCTTGTCACTTGTTATCTCGTTTGATCTTTGCGTGAGACAGGCGACAGACCTTCCTTCTACTTCTCAGGCCAGAAAGCTGGGGCGTGGTGAGACTCCTTCACTTTGCCAAGGTCACACTTCAGTCGACACCAAAAGAAGTCTGGCTGAGGGCAGAGTCTGTGCTCCTGTGGCCAGTGGAACAACGGTCTCTAAAGATGACCACAGCCTAATCCCCAGGCCTGTGACCTTACACTGCAAAGGGGATTTGCAGATGGGATTAAGTTAAGGATCTGAGCCAGGTAGCCCAGCATCATCAGGGGCTCTTAACAGGGAGGTAGGTGTCAGAGTCCACTACCATGGCTGACTTTGGAGGGGAGGAGGGGCAGAGCAGAGGAACACAGGCAGCCTCTAAGGAGCTGAAACCAGTGAGGACCCAGGTTCCCCCTGCTGTCCTGTGAACAGGATTCAGCAGCACACCTGGAAGATTCCAGGGACAAGTGAAGAATGGGTGGGGGCTCTTTTGAGATACTGGTGCAGGCCAGCATTGTTCTCAGAACTTCCCCAGGTCCCTTCCTGGGCCCTTCAGGACCAGGCCACTTGGAGGACAGTCACCAGCAAAACCTAAGAAGAAAAGCCGCCAGCAGTCCTTGTGGAGGTAACATTGCCATCAAAAGGTGGAGGCCGGAAGCCAAGGCACCCACGTGCACCCTTGAAACCCGAGTCTCTTACATCCCTGGACTGATCTACCAACTAAGCAGAGGCCAAGTCTTCGACTCACACGACACATCATGCTGTGTTCAGAAAATAAGCAACGAAGCCAGAATCGTTAGCTTGCGGTGGGTGCCTGGGGACTGATGAATCCAAGAGGTGGCAGCAGGACTCCAGCCTGTGGGGTCTGCTTCCAGCACTGAGCACAGAGCCCTGTGGTCCTGGAGACAGTGGGACAATTGACCACCCAGTCTGCAGAAGGGAGCATCTATTTTGGAGGAAGGAGCCACAACTTTCCAATTTCCAAAGAGGGTCTGTGTCCCCAAAAGACTGAGGCAATACACATGCATCCATTCAAAGAGAAGCAGGGAGACTTTTGAAACAAAATAGCCACTTTGGAATTCCTCTGATTGGCTGTCCATGGAGGTGGGCTGTGGAAGTGAGCACAAACCCACCTATTGTTCTCACTGACAGGCCGGATGGGCATTGTCTGACTACCAGAAGTGAGGCCCTGAGGCTGCTGCCTGATGGTGTGAACACCTGGAGGGACGTCCTCTGATCCTTTTGGTGAATGCAGCGCTCACACCCATGGCACAATCTTTCCCACACCTCAGACCAGTGACACCCTTATTCAGACACGCATCTCAGACTCTGGCTTGGGCAATCATGGTCCTTCCTCTTCCTCACACCATGCGCCTGAAACAGGTACAAGGTGGCCTCTCTCTTCTCAGGCCTGATGCGACACGAATAGCAAAATACTTAGGAACAACCAATGGCAGCTTATGGCTGGCAGCCACACCTGCCTCATTACGGTGGCCACACAACCTGGGGTGACCTATGTCCACCATGGGAACCTCTTCTCACTCTGCAGTGGGGTCCAGCACAGGTGAAGCTCTGGCGTAGTCACATGCTCTAAGCTCTAAGTGTGTCGCTCGCATCGACACAGGGAGCCTCCAACCCTGCAAGGTAGCTGTCATTATTAGTCCTCTCAATGGATAGGGTCTGAGGGCTTGATCGCCCCCGCTCACCGCTGCTCAGGGGTGAGGAGCAGGGCATGGCCAGCCAGAATCCCAGTCCAAGAAATAAAAGGCCGTTGTGACAACTTAGTAAGAGCCAGGCTGGATGCAGCGGCACACAGGTGCAGTGGCACATAGGGAGTACTTGGGAGAGGGGAAGAGTTAACAAGACAAAGTCCACCAGCAAAAGGCAAATTCCGCCTCCATCCCCACAATCAAGACCTCTCGAGGGACTCTCATTTCCAACCCAGTGGTCCTCCAGTGCAACCCCCAACCAGCCACATCCTCAGCCCCTGGGGATGTGCTAGAAACTCAGGTGATCTTCGCGCTACGTGGATGGATGCACTGAGTCAGATTTGCTGTGGACAGGCAGGACTGGGAGAGGTGGTGAGCCAGCACCCCACTGCAGGGTGGCTCAATGCCCAATGGTGTGACAGCTTGTCCAAGCAGCGGGTGAGGCAGGGAGGATGAGGAAGGAGATGGGGAGAGCTGATCCAACACCTCATGCTGGTAAAGGTCCCAGCTCAGTTAAGCTCAGCCTCCTGACCTGGCTCGGCTCTCAGGGCCACGCCTGGTCTCCCCTGCCTGCAGCTCACCACAAAGCAAGGAGTTGCCAAGAAGGCACTGCTGTGAGACAGAGGCTGGGTACTCAGAGGCCCTCGAAGGTCGGAGACAACGCTCCCAAAATAAATCTCTTAGCTACACAGACATTTTCCAAAAGGCATCACCATTTCCCAGAATACAGAGTGACCTAGAAACCTCGGCCAGCAAAGAGCCTCTGGGATGGGGGTGGCTGTCTTCCTTCCCTTTTTCCTCTGCCCTCCCTCCCTCCCTCTTCCAAACCTCCCTTCCTTCTTCTTTTTGTTTTTCTTTCCCTTTGAAGATATTTTTTAACATTGACCTTTTAGTATCTTCACTTACGTATTCCCTCAACAAACACTGATTGAGGGAGTGATTACGAGCAAAGCCCTGACGTAAGCATCATGGTTCCAAAAACTCAAAACCCTAGTGAATGCATTAAAGGCGCACTCAGGGCAGTTATAAGGGCAGGTAACTTCCGGCAAGGCAGGAGAAGGATAGCACATGCATGTGTCTGGCTCTCTGCCATGTGTGACTTGGGGCAGGTTATCTGAGCTTTGTTCTCCCCCTAAGGATACCTGGAGATGGCAGTTTTTGAAAACTGCCATGGTAGGTATTGAATAAGAAGTTGATTTGTGTTTTGATTCGGTATGATCAAGCTCTCACATTTCTAGCTCTTGACTTTATATGTTTAGCTGCTATGTTGTTTGAAGTACAGAGATTGCATTTTTAAGTCACTTTAAAATCACAATCTCTGTCTTTTCATAGCAAAATCTGGCTCAAACATTTAGTATAATGATTGATATAATGTTCTTTTACTCCCTCATAAAAGTCAGAACATTTAGAACTCAATTTTAGCTGAGTAGCTTTCGAGATGAAGAAGAAGGAAAAAAAGACTCATAAAGAGGAAAGAAAAAAGATGGGAAAAAGGCTTAGTCACAACAGCTGTCTTGACCTTAGAGAACTGAGTGACCACATGTTTACAGGAATCTGAACAATCGAAGGCAGATGGAGAGAGAGGAAGAAGGTGGTGGTGAGGGGAGATGGTAAAAAATAATGAGGAAAGGTTGAATGAAACCTTAGCTGGAGACACTGATGCTAAGCCATCGTGGTGGTTTAGAGTCCTAAGATTCCCTGAACTGCATAAGCCCAGCTCTGGGCCACCGCATCCCTAAGCCCTGGACAGCTAGAGGGAACAGTCTGGGTTCTGGGAAATTCATGAAGGAAAAATCAGGACACAGCTTCCTGGTTCAAGGTAGGAGGGAGAGATGGAAGAAGAGACTGCTACCGCAAGAGTGGTGATTAACAAGGCAGCAGCCAGGAGGCAATTCGTATTTTCTTTTGTGTACTTTATCCTAGAATGTGCATATGCAAAGAGAAAGGCAGTGACTCGAGTGACCAGGATGTGTAAATGAACCATCAGAAATACAGCAGAGAAGCATGAAAACTTTCAAACTATAAGAGGACATTTGGGTAAGGTGAGGCACACCTGCACCTGACTTCATAAGGACAGATGGGTGGAAGGAAGTCCTCAACAGTTGGTCTCAACTTAGCCAGAGGCACTGGAATGGACCTTGGGGTTGTGTCCAGGCCTTAGGTCTGGGTTTCTGAGGTCTTAACAGGACCGAGGATGCTAGATTACTCACATCGGCATAGATGTTGGTTCCAAACACGGGGGCCCAGTAGGATGGCTGGTCTTTACAGTGTGCAGGACAGCGGACTCTAGAAAACAGGAGAGGGAAGCATCAGCACAAACCAAACATCCTGAGGCAGTTCTCTTTATTTGAGCGCCTAGATTCAAGTTTCTAGCTGAAAGCAAACTGCTATACTAGCTTGTTCTTTAAGAAAGACCAACCCCTCCCCCATCTTAGCATGGGAAGATACCGTGCCCTTCTTAGACAGTGCGTGTAGAGTTAGAAAACCCTATACAGAAGACACGCAGAAAAAAGCAAAAAGGAATAAAAGCTAAGAGAGAGTGTGTTGGACTGTGACATTGTGCCTCTAGCGTTTGGGGGTGCGGGGACCAGTTCATACTGTGGGTACATCGTGCAGATTACAATCTAGAGATTTTTAAGGCCACTTCCCTGTGTGGAGAGAAAGGGGTGAGAGCCCTCACCTCAGTGACTCACAATACTCTAAGAAGCTGTGCTGATAACCCAAGGCAGAGAGGCTTATGTCACCATGGCCTCTGTAGCCTCCACCCCACCCAAAGCCCAGGGAAAGAAGTGAGCACCTCAAATGAAATGGGTAGGCCCCGGGTGGCTGGCAAGCTTCAAACAAGGAAAAAGCATGAGCTTTGCTTAAGAAAAGGTCTTTTGTGTTTATCTGGAACCCTTTACCACAGGCTGGAGCCCAGGGACCAAGAAACCAAAATGGCGGCCGGAAGCCATCTGGCCCTAAGACAGGAAGGATTCTTGCAGGGAAGCAAGTCAGGCAGAGGGACTGAAGCAGTTCTGAGGGAGAAGAGAGGGGGCCGCAGGGAGAAAGGGCATGTGTGCGTGGGCAGACTTCTTTTAAAAAACATTTGGCTGTCTAAGAACTCAGACTTTCCTACTTCTCCTGGAATGGCAGATCAGAAACACATTTTGGACAATTTACTTTGTCAAGTTTTTCTTTTGTTTTCTGAAATTATTTCCTTCTGCCTCTCTTAATGTTCAGGCAACTCTACAAAACAGCTGTTATCCCCACTTGAACATTCAAGGGACCATCCAGGTGGTGGAAGGGCAGAGGAAGCCAGAAGAAAGCCCAGAGGAGGAAAAGAGTCCTGAGCCCTTCAGGGGCGATCCCAGCCCAGGCCTCTGCAGTCTTCCCCCGTTGTCCCTTCCAGAATCCACAAGACTCTATGCCCAGGATCAGAGTTCCTCGGATGCTGCATCATCCGGGGTCCTCGGAGTGGTGGGTGCCAGGTGACTCCCACCTATACCCGCAAGCACAGCGGAACTAATCAGATTGCCTTCTCTGAAAAGGACAACTTTGCTTCACTGTGTCTTCTGCAGTTCAGGCAAGGGCTGTGCGACAAGCCGGCAAGGTGCTGCCATGTCCAAAGGGCTCAGTGTTGGGAGCCCTTAGGAGGTCCCTCCACGGAAGTGAGAACGGAGGACATTCTCCATGTCCCCTTTCAAGGGGCTCAGTGGGAACAGATGTCAGCAGGACACCTCGCATTCGAGGCTATGAGGCATCACCCTCCATGAGCTAGCCAAGTTGGGACAGTCTATAGACTCCCCAGAGGGGCACAGTGCACATGTGCGGACCTGAGCGTACATGCCACGCGAGAATAACCGCGGCACATGTAACATGGACCAGAGCGAAAGTGTGGCGAGAAGCATGAGAAACCCACAGGTCTACACACAGCCATGGCCCTACTACAGTGACACTGGCAGATGGCAGTTGACAGGAGCTGTGGAAGAGGGACCTGACCACAGAACCCTTTCTGGGGGTGGTAACAGTGATCCTTGCCTCTGTGGTGGTGACAGCTGCCCCACGGCACAGTATGTCAAACGCACCAAACCCTCTGCTTATACGGGTGGCTTTTATTGTGTACCTAAATGGAGCACATTCTTAAAAAGTTACTTCTAGAGGGATCCATAGGAAATATAAAAACAGATCAGGTGCAAGAGATGACAGGCTAACTAAAGGGACAAAGGACAAGCAGCTTCCAGAGCTTCCGGGCTAACCTAAAGAGATGATGGCTGTGAAGGGCCAGGAGGGAAATGAGTCATTTTGACAAGGAGGAGGGCTCCTCTCCTAGGGATCAGCGTGATGTTGAGTGGGCACAGCTACTTCCTTTGTTGCATTTGCCAGAGTGGGGCTCTGAGACCCGAGGACATGGCATTCATCAGACATGGCAGGGCCCCGGGGAACTTTTTATTGCTCCTGCTGGGTCATCTGGGTTGAGAGCAGCCTTCTCAGGAAGACCAGAGGTTCCCTGACTTAGAGCTCAAAGCGACTGACTTGTGGGTACATCCCAGTGCAACGCCTTCCTCTCAGGCCCAGTGCAGACAAAGGCAGATGCCAGGGAGACCCATGAGAGAAGAGACGCAGTCTGCCTAGCCCTGTCAGGCAGCGTTTCTCCCACCTTACCTCGGGCAGTGAGTGGCCGGCTTTTCAAATGGGCACAGCTGAGCCACCGTGGTATAGCAGTCTAAGTCTTGCTCTGAAAACAGGAACACAGAGGGAAGCGTCAGGTCCCCAGCAGCCCTGGGCTCAGGCCTTGAAGTGGGCAACTGCACAGCAGGGACCTCTGCTACATGGGGCCCTGAGCAGAGCTGGGCAGAAGGCTGGAAGGTCCCTCCATCCACTTGGGCACTCAAGAGAAGACAGACCAACCCCGGAATGCTGGGTGGAGGTGTCTCTGTGGGGCCCATGGTACTCTCCATGTCAACTGTGCTCTTTGGTGTTGAAGCCTGTTCCTTACTTTGTCATCTTTGATTCTCATAGCACGTGGAATTCTAAGTGTAGAGATGGGAAATGTGGACTCAGAAGAGTGAAGGGGCACTGAGACCTCTAGACAGGGGTCCAATTCGGCCAACTATCACTCAAGCCTCCACTCCTGGTTAGAGCAGGCCCTCCTGGCCACGCACCCCACCCTACCATGTGTGAACACCCAAGCAATGGAAACAACTGGCCAGAGATGGCAGATAGGTACCACACACTTTCCGTGTCTCCCTGTCTTGTCTGTGGCAGACATTACTAATCAACCAAGCTCTGTTTTCTGCTGAGCCCAGATTTCTGCCTCAGAAACCATGCCCAGGGAACCACCAGTTGGTACTGGGTTGGGGTGGAGCTCAGTGGTAGAGTGTGCTGACCTGGCATGCCCAAGGCCCTGGGTCCCATCCCCAACACTAGGGAAAAAGAGTTTGCAACTGATAGACGTTGACTCCCAATGAAACTTCTTGGCCACTCCAGTCGCAGGCATCAGGACTGCGGCAACACTTAACCAGCAGCCCAGGGCTTGTGTTTCTGACTCAGCCACCGAGGGCCAATTTCAAGTCTCAAAACATTTAGAAACTGGTTAAAGAACCTTTTCAGAGACCTCCCAAAAATGCCTCTCTGAGCCTGAAAGCAATGATGCTGGGCTGGCAGAATAAACCGATAAATAATGTCTACAGGAAGGGAAATCCAAGATAAACCACCCATTCTGGTCCCACAGAACCTGGCCAGCTTACCTTTCACTTTTGACATGAAGAATGAACTTGAGGGCTTGTTTTTGCTGAAAAAAAAAAAAAAAAGCTAGGTCAGGGCACACAGAATCACATCTAAAGCTCCTGTGCTTACCTGACAGCCCCAACTCACACTTCCCTACTCGAAGCAGAAAAGCCTGGAAGCTCTTAGTATATTCTAGAATAGGGCTTCTTAACCTTGTCTACAAGGACTCCTCTGGCAGCCTAGTGAAGCTTGCAGACTCCTTCTTAGAAAAAGGGTTTGAAATGTAAAAGGTGTATTTCAAACATTGCAAAGGAAATCAGTTATTATTGATATCCTTATCAAGCAAGTTTGCATTAAAATTAGACCTGTATTCCTTTATCCATGCATGGGACAAGGGAATCTACAGGGGGTCGTCTAACTCCCACCACTTCAGGGTAATGACATCAGGGACCTGTTTCCACATGGTGGTGGCAACAGCTTCCCCACGAGAAGTCATCAGCCCTGCTGACATTGCTCGAGTTCAACCCTGGCAAGGGAAGGAAGGACAGACTCCATGCCAACTAGAGGCTGACCGCAGGCCCCTGAACCCCTCCACGGGAACAGCCTGCTCTGGCACCCCAGGATCCGAACACTTCACCAAGCGCCCCCTGTGTGGCTGCCTGTGTGGCAGGAGTCAAAGTCACCCAGCAGCACCTCGCAAATATTTCCCTTGCTGTTTCATTAACACAACCCCTACCCCAGGTCCCTCGGGAAGCCGAAGCTGGAAGCCGGAATGTTGGCCCATCGCCCGCAGCCTGAGACCTTTCAAACAAGTCACTCGGCGTTTGTGAAATGTTCTGAGTGGCCCACAATGCAGATAGGACGCCCTCTGTCGTAACACCTGTGGGAGCATTGGTTCAGAGCCCTCCTCGGCACAGATCCTGGCACGGGCACTGACCGGGGAAGGCCTCGGTGTGCGCTCAGAGCGCACCCGAGTGAGCTGGGACCAGGTCTCCAACGCCTGCTGGGTGCCCCGGGCAGGCTCCTGGCCGTGGGGGTGGAGCATCCCTAGTGCTCAGGGAATTGGGAACGTTGCCACTTGTAGTGATCAGGTATGGACCACCTGGGGGTCAGCTCCGAGTCCTACCCTTGTGACAAATGAGGGTCCATCACAAAGAGCTGGAGAAACTGACCAAGGATGCACAGTGGGGAGGACGTGGAGTGGGTCTGTAGGACCCCATAACCCCTGTGGGCCCTGCAGGCTCCAGGTCACCTTACACTTCTCTTTCCACAAGACATGGCCTCTAGCCACTGCCCAGGATATCAGAGGTTTATCACCATTTGTAGGTGACAAATATCATCTTGAGGAAAAGTAAATATGGCAGGAGAGTCCCTTCCCTACCTGAAGTGCTTCTGATTGGGGGACCTTTGCACAGACCTCCCTGGTTGGCCATCCCTACTCCAAAAATCCAAAGTCTGAAATGCTCCAAAATTCAAAACTATCGAGTGCTCAAAAAACTTCAGACTATTTCAAATTTCACATTTTTTGGTGGTGGGGACAGGGTCTCATATGCAGCCCAGGCTGGTCTCGAACTCCTAATCCTCCTGCCTCCCCTTCCCCAGTGCTGGGATGACAGGTGCACCACCACACCTGGCGTTTCAGATTTTTAAATTAAGGATACTCAACCTGAATGCCTATTTTAAAAATGAAAAGTCTGGCTGGGCACCAGTAACATACACCTGTAATCCTAGTTACTCAGGAGGCAGAGATCAGGAAGATCATAGGCAACCCAGGCAAATAGTTTGAGAGACCCCATCTAGAAAGTACCCAACATAAAAAAAGGCTGCCAGAGTAGCCTGCCTAGCAAGTGTGAAGTTCTGAGTTCAAATCCCAGTACTACAAAAAAAATCTGAAATAAAAAACCTTTGTTTAAAAAAAATGAAAAGCTTCACTCCCTAGGAAGAAAAAAGACCAGCCACTGCACAGTCCAGGACACCATCGGCCACTCATGATGGCACGTCCTCAGTGACCAGCAAGATAGACAAAAGCAGAATTCACACCTCAAGTGAGACGAAGGCCCCAACACCCGAACAGAAGCCACTAAGTGGCCCCAGGGTGTTCTGGGTTCTGGGACTCAGGCCATTTTTAGTTTCCTCGATTCCTTATGTCATTCAGTACTTGTCAACGCTTCAACACCACTTTTATAACCAGAAAAGGGCATTGCAGGAACCCCAAGTCTGGAGCGGGTACCTTAGAGACTCCACACCGTGTCTCTGAGACGTGATGAAATGTGGCATCTTCCCTTTCCTGGTGATGTCCACCAGGCCTCCTCTGTCATCAATCATTCCGGAATGGATGGCAGCCCGGCAGATGCTGGATGACTGCGTGGGAATGGGGGGAGCATAATTATACTTAATTAATCCTTAGCAGAAACACCCAGGATGTTTGTCATCAACCCACTAAACACCAAAGAGCCAGACCAGAGCTCACCCCACCTCCGATTGTCACCTCTCTCCATAACTGCGTCCTTGTTCCTGGGTTGCTTATCTTAACGGACTCATCTGATCTGCTTTACCAACTAAAAAATGCGACAAATGGCCCTTTCTCCCCGCCCAGTGGAGCATGCTAACACCGGGTACAGTGGAGCCTGGGCTTCCCCGGGATCAGCCCCAGTTCCTGACAATGGCCCCACCCGAGAGCCCAGGAGTCCGTGTGCAAAGCCACTCCCCACACACCAGCTTTGACCAAGGAGTAGAGAGAAAACCTTTCTTGTGAAAACCACCATCTTCTTTAAAAATTCACGTGAGTCTGTTTAAAGAAACGCTGACCACACTCACACTTTCATAAAACACTGATCCGAAAACCTTTGCCTTGCTCTTCAGGCAGCCTGCTGGGCACTGATACCTGCCAGACAAAAATAAAATGGTGTTCAGAGATAAACACGGTGATTTAATCACAGGGCAATTTTATCTTTTCTTCAATAGCTTCTTTATTGAATTTACAAAAGTTTCATTAATGGTGATTTTGTTGCTTGTGCATGTGTGTGTGTGGTACTGGGAATCAAACCCAAGGCCTTGTGCATAGGTAGACAAACGCTCTGCCACTGAGCTAGATCTCCAGCCTAGCTAGATCTTCCAAATTGTTACTTTTGAACAAGTGATAATTTACTCAGGCCCAGACTGAAGTTCATGTGCGCACACACAGTTGTCTTAAAAACTTATCTTCATGTGTTCAAGACTGGTGTTAAACAGACAAGTCACAGAAGAGAGATGGCCTCAAGTGTACCCACACATCAAAGATGTGAGACTGAAAAGAAGTCACTTTCTAGGCATCACACTGCAAGGGTTTACAAATGGGGCAAAACTCAGTGGTGGCACTCCTGCTTATGACAGAGCACAAACCAGCCTGTGGGGAAGCCCTTGGGCTCTTATGGATGGGTCCTTGGATTTCTCTTCTAAACACATATCCCAAGCAGAAAGCCAGAGAGACCTCACGTGTGGGCCAACCCTTCGTCATTGTGGAAGCTGGAGAGACGTCAGCAGGTGAAATGGCCGGTTTTTTGAACCCGTACACCAGCATCATACACAACCACTGAAGATGAGGGGTTTGGGGAACGTACCTGGGCTTTGGAAAGCAGGGCAATGAAAATGTTAAGTCAAACCACACACACAGTACCAGCCTCATCTACACAGATAAAAGATCCAAAGGAAATATTGAATTGCTGAGCTCCTGGAACACTTGCCTTTTTTCTGTAAACTTTGTGGTGTTTTCTGAGTTATTTACAATGAACAAAAACTCCTTTCAGAGTCAGGCTGAAAAGCCCAAGTAGATGTTACTTACACCCAGGCGAGGCTGGGCAGCTCTGGTGTCTGTGGGCCGGGCTGAGTTACACTTGCTGAGTTTAGGACAGACTTTCAACTTGTCCCTTCACAGGGCCCCCATCCCCAACTCCAACCCCAGGAGCAGCTTCCAAGCTGACTGACAAGGTGTGACGTCCTCACAACAAGCTCAGCCAGAAAGCACATTGTCACTAAGGACCACTGGAAGAATGCGAGACCCGCAGGTTTGCGGGTAGATACAGATGCACTTCTGGGTGCACCTGCTCACTTCCCAGCTCCCAGCACAGATTCGAGCAAGCGTCACCCTGGCTTTGGGCACACCTGTTCCACCACTCATCACTGCCACATCTGACACATCAGCCACACACTAATCCGTGTGATTCCCACAGTGGGTGCTGAAGTACTGCCGGCCATTCAGGGGCCCAGCGCACCTGTGGGATAGCCTCACCTGGGCGACTGAGACCACCTCGTATCACTAAGTACAGTGTTCTCACACAAACCAGATCCCACATCCCTGTGGTACCAGGAGGGAGTCACTGCCCTCTCTTGGCAACAGGAGCTTTAATAATTCAGCTCAGCTTTACACAAACCGAGACCAGAATCTACAGGAAGATAGGCAAGGTCCCCTCTCCTGGGAACCCAAGGGTCTGCGTGAGGTGGCAACACCTGTTGGCTGTGAGCTGACAGGAAGAGCGGCTAGACAGATGTGCTGTGAGAACCAAGCACGCTCTGCTTGGCAGAGGCCCTCGACATCCAAACGGACCTCACTAAATGACTCCACCAGCTGGAGGGAGCCAGGCAGCCACCGGGGGACACTGGGGCTCACTCATCTGAGAGGCCCCTCCAGAAGCAGTTCTGCACACAGAACTCTGGGCCGTTGCCCCAGAGTTCAACACAGGCAGGTGGGACAGAGCCCCGAACCCAGGCAAAAGCAGCAGACAAGTTTTCCTGTTTATTGCTTATGATACATCTACTTGCACACTAGGCACTTCTACACCTTGGGAATTCCTTTTTAAGTCAATAACCAGTAATTCTGGCACCAGCCTTGACCGAGTAGAAAGACACCAGCTGACAGTGGGGGGTAGGGGGGAGCACTTGGGGACAGACAATCCACAGCTCCCTCTAGGCTCTGTCAAATTCACCTCATTGAAATCTTTGAGTTTCCCAGAAAGACTGTCTAAATTACGTTGCCAGCAGGGTGACTAAGCATCCTGGTTCATCCAGGACTTTTACTAACACCAGGAAAAGTCCCTGGCTAACTGGGACCACTGATCACCTCTTCTCAGCTTCTGGGGCCAGGAACCAATGGCCCATTTCAAAGGGACATTGTGAGCAGCGAGCAAGTTGACACGAGGAAAGGGGCTTTGTGCAGTGGGTGGTACCACCACAAGGACCATTCTAACTGTGAATACCGTCCTGTGCTTCTGAGCCCAAATCTACCCTCTCTCTAGCTCGCCCAATCCCCTCAGCTCCCTTTTGACGCCAAGCAAAGTCTCTAGGTCGAAACTATCTTGCCCCAGGTGCCACTTGGGCCACTCCCCATCCTTTCTTTGGGGTTTCTCAAGATGATACTGACAAATTCCTTGAGTCAGGGTGAGCTCCCAAATGTTTACCTGACACCCCAGAAGATTCTACAAGGCTCTCGGTTTGAGGACATGCAGCCCAGCTTAGGGCTGGCAATCCCGTGCTACCATTTCCTGGAGGAGCTTTGAAAATGACACGAAAAACCCTAAAGCCACACATGAGGCTTGGGCCATCTAAGACTAAGTTGTCATCTCTGGGCACAGAGCTCAAGAAGAGGTACTTTCTGAAAGTTCCCGAGATGTCCCTAACGTCCACTTGTGCAGGGACTGTGTTCTGAATGGGAAGGGCAGAGATCCTGCAGGCTGGTAGGAGAGCCATTGGGGCCGGGAGTATTTACACCACGGGAACTGGCAAAGGCTACAATGTGTCACTGTTGACATCTCTGAGAGCACTGCTGTCAGGGCTGAGAGTCACCAGGTCACAACAATGAGGGTTTACGTTCACCATGTCCTCAGAACGCACTTCATGGTGGGTGGCCCGTGGGGTACTACCCTATCCCCACCAGTGACAAGAAGCTTAACTGGAGGATGCGCCCAGTGGGGAGAAGACCCAAAGTTTGATTCAAACCACCAGGTGAGTTCTCAACCTGGGGGAAATTTTACCCCTTGGGGGACATCTGTAGATGCCTGGAGACATTTCAGTTGTAACAACCAGGGAACGTTTAATAGGTCAAGTCCAAAGACACTGCTCAACAATCCTATAATATTCAGGACAACCCCACCACAGGGACTTATCTGGCCCCAAACGTTAGTAGTGCCAGTTAAGAGAGCCCTGGTCTCAGCTGACAGCAGCTGACCATCTTTGTGTGCCAAGCTCTCCTTTTCAGTGGTGGCTGTCAGAGAGAACCCTGGCATACCATGGTCAGTCTAACTCACGATGTGGAGCTTGCTCAGGTGGCTTCTGGCTCAACCTGGCACACCTTCGTGCTGAAGGTCACGAGTACCATTTTCCCAGGAGTTTCCACGCAGGTTGGCTTAGGAGGCAATGAGCTAACAGATTGTGACATGGCCTCTGGCCCGTGGCAGGCTTCAAGGGTGGCAAGACAGCAATGCAGCCAGGCCTCACCTGTTGCACGTAGACCCTTTGCACTTCTCCTTCATCTTGGTGTCGCAGTGGATGACTTGGGCTGGGAGAGAAATGTGGAAATGCCTGTCACACTGAGTTTGGGTTAGAAGACCACTCCCCCACTTCCAGGGGCATTCTGGAATGCTCTGGAATCCATGCCATAAAAAAGAGCAAGAGCCATGCCTGGTGGCTGTGGGCCTCAGTTGGAGTCTCAAATCCTACCCGCCACTTTATTTGGTGACGGTGTAGCTTTGGACAAGTTTCCTCCCTCTGAGGTCTAGTTTCTGACATGAACTATGGGGAGGTTGACAGTCCCCACCATGAGAAAGTCAGCATGGTCCTGGAGGCATGCCTGGCACACGGTCCATGTCTCTCTCACAGTCCCACAGGGTTCTGGGTAGCGGGGCTGATGGGGGTGCACACAGGGAGAGGGAGGCACCAGGATGCCTTATTCAAGCACAGCCGGGGGCCCCACCATTCTCTCCCTAAAGCCAACATGAGTTTTGCCAATTTGTTCTGTTTTATTTATTTACTTACGTATTTGTATTTGTTTTTGTGTTTTTATTTTTGAGACAGGGTCTTGCTATGCAGCCCTGGTTGGCCTTGAACTCACAATCCTCCTGCCTCAGCCTCCCAAGTGCTGGGATTAGATTACAGGCATGTACTATCATGCAGGGCAGAAATTTGAAACCAGGTTTGTACCACCTCTTTTGAACACTTTTTTAATCGCTTTTTTTATGTAGGGGTGGGGATAGAACCCAGGGCCTTGGCACCTAGGCAGGTACTCCACCACTGAGCTCCATCCCTGGCTCTCCGTTCTCCTTTATTTTGCAGGGACATAGCATGGCATGCGAATAGTGCAGTTATTTTTTTAAAAGATAAACAATATCACGACCTTTCAGTACTAAAATGGGCCCTGCTTTGAACTTCCAGACAGACCATTGCACCAACACATTTCCTGGTCAAAGGCAGCTACAGAATGGTTACAGGTCAGGGGCGAGGTGTTTGAAGGCCAAGAGGACAGAGATTGGGGGTGAGTGGGAGAAGAGGGTCCTTTAGAAAAGCCCAAGGGTTTCTGAGAAGGGCGAGGCCACACCTGCCTCTAGACGAGTCTGATTTTATGTACTCTGTTGCTTTGGGGGAAGAGAGAGACGAGAACAATGGCCAGGCATTCACCTGCACCATGAGAAATGACACACCCAGCCCCAGTCACGGCCGCTTTGTGGACAGGGCCCTGTGTGAGGGGTCTGGCAACTGGATGGGGGTTGAGCACTACCTAGGTAAGTGTGAATAGTCTGAGTTTGGGGATTTCCAGAAGTCTCAGGAAAAGCAGCCAATATGGGGGGCTTGGGGAGGGGAGGGTAGTCAGAGGCACATCATGACCACCTCAGGGTGTAGGGAGACCTCTGCTAACTCTAGGCACCCTGCACCCCACAGGCGATCCTCACGGTCACCCGGATGTAGGCATAACTATCCCCACTGTGTGGTGAGCAAACAGAACTGCAAAGAGTCAGGAACAGGCTGAGCCCAGAGCAGAAACTGCTGAAGGACTTGTGGGTCGTCTGGAGCCAGTCTGCATGCAGCACAGACTCTGTTCTCCCCAAGAGATTAGCACATCCTGGAGGGACCCACTTCCAGCCCGCGTCCCCTTTGAAAGGACATGGGAAGGTTTAACCTTAAATTACCTGCCTGTGGGAAAGTGTCACCCAGTGCCTCTTCTATAATGCCTGCTTTTCATGACTCAAAAATATCATTTTCAAATAATGACTTAGGGTTGTGAGCTGGCCAGCTACACCCCACCCTCTCCCCACTGTTTGTCAACCTGGAGGCTCTCAGCCCCGCTAGCTCCCCTCCCCTGCACCGGATGCAGGGGACACCAACTCACTCATGTAGCTGATGGTGGGGCTCGTCTTCGGCTTCGTGGGCTTCACCACCCTTGGTTGGATCCACTCGTGCTTTTCCTTGGGAGCAGGGGCCGTTTCCACCTCGTTCATCTCATCTGTCTCAGGTTTTTGGTTGTAGGTCTCTTCTTAATAGTGGTGAGGGAGAAAAATAACAGTTGGGATTTAACAAAAACACACTTTGGAAAAAGCAATTTGAAAACTAAGCTGGTTTGAGGTTTGGTTTCACAAAGAGTTATTTCAACAGTGCAGGGGAGGTTGTATTTGGGACAGACCTGGCCAGGTGGAATTCTACCAGCCAGGAGGCTCATGTTTGCCTTGGACCTGAGAACAGAGGGCGGGGCAGGAGTGATTAGGCCCAGCCTGCTCCAGACCATCAGAATGGCTTTCCTGCCTCACCTCTCTTGTGCACTACATCTGCCCAAGAAAGCGGCTTCAAGAAATGTCCCCATCCACTGACCCAAAGCCACAGCTGTCCCCCATGCCCCTGGCCCCACAGTTTTCACTGCCAACGCTCTTGGATCCCAACTGCATGCATCTCACACCAGCATGCTTTGCTCCCTCCTCTGCCCCCAGCGTCAACTCAAGTCACATCTCTGTCCTGGAGTTTTGCTGGATAATTACACTGAACCCGTTACGTGGAGCTCTACAAACCCAGCTCCCTGGTCCCAATCTGTTCCCACCCAAGGACATCTATATTTTTTCTCCAACCATGACCATGACGCTCTCGTCTTAGAGCATTTTAATTAATGAACAAATGACACCGATTAAGCATGGGCTCACTTATCCTCATTTTCATCTTGAAATGCTACCCTGTGCTGCCCACCACGATCGGCAGTCAGACCACCAGGGTACCAAACGGTACATTCCAGCCTAAGCCAAGAGCCTGACAGCATTTCTGCTGGCTTGAGTGGCCTTATCAAAGATGAGCTGATGTGCATCCCCGCTGGGGTCCTGTCTTTACAGCCTGCACCTCGTCCTCCACCAAGGACGTCTATACCAAAACGCCAAAAGTCCCAAATGTACCTAATCTACCAAGCATCACAGCTCAGTCCTCCCGCCCTGAGCACCGTGCCAGTCACCAGTGGGTGAAATCATCTGCACCCAGCCTGTCACCATGCGGTGTTGAGATCTCACGTGGCTGAGTAGGAGCTGTGGCTTTACTGCCACTGCCTGGCATTGAGAACGGGACGCACATCGCCAGCCTGGAGAAAGGTCAGAATTCAGACATTCCAAGCACGGTTTTGACTGCATGTGTGAGGTCAAAACAATCAAGTCAACCCATCATCAGCCGGGCCCCGGGAGTCTGTGTGTGTGGGTTAGAATGATTTTCGAGGAGGAAAAATGGCGTGTGTTTGGGGACCAAACTCCAAGTTCCCTCAAGTCTGATCCATCCCCAAGTCCTATTTCCACTTCCTAGAACAACGCACTGAAGGGCGGCCCTGGCGTTGGTGTGCCAAGTGAGGTGTCCAAGTGAAGGCCACACCGGGCCAGGGACAGGGCTCACTCACTGTCCACCACCCGAGAAAGGACGGGGTAAGCCTGGGGAGAGGGCAGTGCCCATCCCATCCTCAGCCACTCGGCACGCGTACGGATTCCACCCGCGCTATAAACTCCCAGAGGCCTGCAGCCAGCTGGCTCCACAGCCCATCTCGCACCCGGGGCACCGGAGCTGCTCCAGAAACTTCACTGAATGAAGTTGCTTGAAATTCTGTCAGCTAAAGAAAAAAAATACGCCAGCCACGAAGTTCAAAGACATCCGAGAAGGGGACCTGACAGCACCACTCATACCAAAAGCTACAGACGGAGCCTTCAGGAAGACACTGGGTTTGCGAGGGCCGCCTGGCACCCGGTGGCTGCGGCTCGTCCACTCTCCCCGTCAATGTGGCTATTCAGCCTGCCCTTTGCTGAAAGCCGCCGTCTCTGGAGTCACCGGGTTTCTTCCATAGCCTGTAGGATTTTTATACTTCATAATCACAGCTTTATTGAGCTGAATACCGTGTGGTGCAGCCATCTAAGCTTTTGAGAGCTCACTATTTCAGAAAGTGGGCAGACAGACCTCGCCCTCAGACACACACACACACACGACAGCTGAACGCTGACCCAGGGTGGCTGGACCTGGGCACATGCTAATTACAATCCCCTACACAGAAATTCTGAGTTAGGCTCACGTCAAGGTAACTCAACGCAATGTCCGCTCCAGGCCAGGGGTCTTGGAGTCCAGATCATCATTTACGTCCCTCTGCAGTGACGTCAGCTAAGTTCTATAACTTAGCTCAGAGCTAATGTTCACTAAAGAGAGGCCAAAATGCCAGGCCCTCCTGCTGCCTTAAGAGACATGATTGGCCCCATTTCACAGACGAGGAAACTGAGGCTCAGAGAGGCGAAGTGACTTGCCCAGGCTCACGCGGCTGGGAAGCAGCCAGGTAGGAAGTCAGGCTGCGGTCCCCTAGGTCTCCTTGTGTCATCCCACGTAGGGAAGTGGTGGAAGGGAAAGTTCTCTATCCTTATCCTTAAATCCCCACATCCCCATGACAGGTCAAGGCCTTCCCGGCACCGCAGGGCACGCTTACTCAGTAGCTTATGTAGATAAGTGGCTTTTGGGGTGGCTATCTGTGTGGTCAGCTAAGAAAACCACCGTGCCTGCCAAGGGAAGTTGGGCATTTTCCACCAAAAACAGAAATAAGTGTATGGGCGTCGCTGGGTGGGTACACTAGCATCTGAGGTCCCTGTGTGCTTTGCTCTTTGAAAATGACCCTCTGTGGGAACCGAGGGATATTTACTCTAACAACATGCAGGACACACCTGCCACGTGCCCTGGAGGCCCTGCAGCCAGACGGCAGTTGTAACAACAGGGTTTTGAGGGTCACAGGACCTGTGGGGGCCATGAGAAGGTGGGGGCAGGTACATGTCTGTCTGTGGAGCCCAGGGGCCCCCGGAACAGGGGTGACAGCAGAGCTGGTCCCCAGGTAGAGTCTCTCAGGGGACTAATGGCCCAGGGGATGGGCAAGACACAATCATCAGAACAGACTGTGAGGGCAAGCCCATCCCTCCCCCTGTGGCCGTCCCCTTGAGGTGTCCTCCACGGTGAGCAGTCAGCCAGGGGGCCGCTTTGAGAGAATGGGGCCACACATCACTAGCCTAGAAAGAAGTCAAAATCCAAAAATTCTGAGCACGATGTGAGTGCACGCATACTGATTTCACACCATTGTAAAGTAAAAAACTTGTAAGTCAAGCCCTGTTTCCCACCCCGTTCTTGCTCTCAGCCTACTTGTTCTTCACCCCGGGCCCACCAGACTTATCCACGTCCCTCTCAGGGAAGGAACTGGCAAGACGGTCACTCCTCTGCCCACCCTCCCCTCCACGCACCACCCCGCAAGGCCTCTCAGTCAACTCCAGGCCTGCTGATGGAGCCACACAAAACACCAAATTCAGCCCCTGGTGGTCAGCCCCTTCTGGACATGACTTCCAGGAGCCCGAGGAAGTATTCCCAAAACGTGAGAAAGACATCAGACACGTGCATTACATTTAGCAGCCGAAAGAAATGGAATCTTCCTAGACTACCAACGATATCAAATGGGGAAACAAGTGTTAAGTTGTGTAGCTGCTTCCCCCAGTGCTGTGGCCGGGTGCCCTGTCCCTGAGCCACCCCTGAGCCTCTGAAGGCTGCAGGTCTGGCTGAGCTGTAGAGGGGAGTGAAACATGCTGCTCAGGACACAGGAGTGACGGCAAGGTGCACACAGCAGGTGCTGGCAGGGACCGAACCCTGCCATAGGCACTGGTGTCCCCACCATGAGCTCGTCTGGAGGCTTCACACTGTCATTTACTGTGAATTTCACTTTCAATCTGTATTAAGCAGACTGCACACTAAAGAGGGAAGGGAGGGGGTCCGTCTAGCATCCAGGGGATGACAGGTGACTTCAGTGAGGAAGGGGGCCCTGACCCCATGGTTCAATTCAATTCCCATTTTGTACACAGCCTCTGGCTCAGAGGCTGGGGAACCTGCCTACCTCGGTAGCACAGGTTATTCCTGCAGCCGCCCCCAAAGCTGGGCGGGCACTCGGAGCAGGGACGGCCAGTCTTGTAGGGGGCTTCTCCGATCCAGTTACCCCTGAGGACAGACCAGAAACATAATTAGCACAGCCCTCCTGGAGGCCTGAGGACCTGAAACAGAGGCCCAGCCAGCTGGGGAGGAGGGTGCATTACAGGGAATGGGGAAGGCTGTGGACCTCTGCTTCACAAAACCAGAGCATTCTGCAATCCCAGTAAACCCTGGCACTGAGACCTCCTGCCACTGGCACCTGCTCTGCCACAGAACCCTTTAAGAGAAGCAGGCACTCTGGCCTGTGAGGCCTCTCATTGTCCTCCATGCAGTGGGTACTCAACAGCCCAGCTGTGGCAAGGCCTGCCCTGGCTCTAGGGGACACTCCACTGGCCTGGCTCACAGACAGCATTACACATGGGCATCTGTTAAACCCACAGGCCTGGTCAGGGGCTGCTCTGACTGCTTCCTGGGCAGGCAGAGGTCACCCTCGAGTGCTGCCTGGGAGAAGCACAGACAGCGCCCTGTGCAGCACATGCCCTATGGTGGCCTAGAGTCTCCCAGAGTTCCGAGGAGCTGTGGTATCACCCTGGGTGTGGGGCTGAGGAGGGGGAGCCAGGAGGAAAGCGGTCCATGGCTGGGGGAGATGGGGGCCTCACAGGCACACAGCCCCTCCCATCCTGGACACACAGGACAGCTGTGTTCTGTAACTAGATGCAGAGTCCCCTGCTTTGACAATCCACCCAGATATTCAAGCTACCTAGGGACTCACGGGGTGGAGGAGATTGGGTGAATCCCCCAAGTAGTCTCATGGTCCAAGATACCCCAGAGCTGTCCCTGGGTGAGCCTCAGTGGGCTCCCACCCAGGTTCACTCCCTTCCCTCCAGCCCAGTCCTTCTTGGCACCTAGGCCTCCATTTTCCTCAGAGACAAGCTGCATCTCTGAGGCTCCTGGGCCCACAAGACACACAGAGTTGGTGCTTATCAAGGCTGGCTGGGCCTCTATAGATGGACAGCAGATGGGCAGTCTCCTCTGTTCAGCCCATGGAACACCACTGCCCTTCTCAGACACAAAGCCATTGAGGCAGGAGCCCAAACCAGGCAAGACTGGCCATGCGGACAGATGTCTGAATGCAGGCCCCTGGGACACAGGGATCCTGTGAAAACAGGAAACATTCCCTGGGGGTGTACTGTCACATGGGTATGTGCCTGTCACTGTGGACTACAGGCATGCACACATACATGTCCACACTGCATTTGTTCACATGTGTCCCTCTCAAATCCACATGTCAGAGCCCTAGCCTCCTGAGTGGCTGTGTTTGCAGATGGGTCTTTACAAAGTAATTGCAATCAACAAGCATGGGATTCTGATTCGATACAATTAGCGACCTTATAAAAAGAGACCCCAGAGAGGGCTTGCTCACTCGCTCTCGCTCTCTCTGCCATGTGAGTGCACAGTGAGAAGGCTGCCATCTGCGAGCCAGGAAGGGAGCCCTCACCAGAACTGACCCTGCAGGACACTGGGGACTGCCAGCTCTAGAACGTAGGCCACAGATGTCTGAGGTTCAGCCCCAGCCAGGGAAGTTTCACTACCAACAACCCAAGACACTTTCTTTTTCCATAAAAGGGGAGAGGGATTGTGCTAAAGAAGGTCATGTGGTTTCTGATTGAACCTGCTGGTGTGTGTTTTTCTGTAAGGAGTCAAGTCAAGTTGTCCCTTGTTCCCCACCTGCCACTCAGCCAGGAGCTCCACCATCCAGGACCAGAGAAGTGCATTCTGTAGGGCTCAAGTGCTTCCCAACAATGACAGGGACACTGTCCCTGCTCACAGCCGTGCCACAGCCATGCCTGACTGTCTCTGCAGTTTCACCCCACCTTCCCATGGCCGCTCCTGACCAAGTCAGATAAACGAGGCCATTCCCATTTACTTTCCTCACTGAGCAGACAAGCCGAGAAGGCCACAGTGTGCAGCGCTCCAGCCTGGGATGGCACCCGCCAAGTGACCAACGTGTAAACCACAAGCTGCAGACGGGGTGTGCAGCTCCCCAAGGATCCGCACACACTTGTGCAATGAGTCACCAAGCAAATGACACTGGTGACGTAAGGATGCTCTGAGGGGGCAGAGGGTTGCACTACGCAGACCTAATGTGGCCTTCGGGAGGAAAACAGAAGATGAGGAAAAACAAGATCCAGGCTGAACACGTGTTTCCTAGGGTGCTCTTGGTGGCATGCTTTCAGAGAAAGATAACAGCCACTCAGTCAGACCCTGCTGGCTGCCCACATGGCAGCTCCACCTGCCTCCCTGCCCAGCTGGTCCCAGATGATGACGAGCCTACTCAGGAGGCAGAGATCAGGAGGATGGTGGTTCAAAGCCAGCCCAGAGCCAACAGTTTGAGAGACCCTATCTCAAAAATACCCAACACAAAACAGGGCTGGTGGAGTGGTAGCTTAAGTGGTAAGAGCACCTGCCTAGCAAACCCCAGTGTTGAAAAAAAAAAAAAAAAAGAAAGAAAGAAAGAAAGCAAATGGGACAACACGATCCCTCTTTGTCTATGGTGTGTGACATAAGGAGAAAGTGTGCCAGGGCGAGAATGGCTCAGGAGACAGTCGGTTCCTACCATATTACCTCCTTCTGCTTGGGAAGACATGATGCTGGTGCTTTGCAGCCACCTGGGGCCATGAGGAAAGAAAGGCAGAAGAGGAAGACAGAGAGGGCTGGAGTCCTTGTTGACCCTGTGGAACTATAACCTGGAGGCATCAACTTCTACACTCCTTAGTAGTGAAATAACGGTGAGAGTCATCACCGTTGACTCCTGTTTCAGTTGGGTCCCGTGTGGCAGGCAGATGCATCTCAAACATACAACCAGTCAACTTGGTCTTACTTTGGAGAATAATTGCAGACGAGGTAGACGGCATTCTCCCAAACATCTCCCCAAACGTTAATCCTCTGGCAGGTGTTCACAGCACATCCAATCTTGTTCGTGGTCGCCCAGACTATCTGAAAAGACAGCACGTGTGTGTCACAGCTCGAGTGAGCAGAGAACCCCAGGATCTGTGAGGTACAGGTGCTAAAGGGTGAAAGGACCAGTTTTTTCCCAAGACCCATCTAAGGGACAAAGCAAACATGCCACACACACAACAGAATGCCCAGCAGTGACAAGTCACACAGAAGTTTCTAGTGCTGCTCTAAGTCTGACCCTGTGAAATGAAGCAAGCGACTTGGCCCACCAGCCACACTTCAAGTAGCATGGAATTAAAGTCAGGCAGAGACTGCACAGAGCATTGGCAGATCTGGCCGTGGCCCCATGGGGAGGTGGGTGTCTGGGCTTTGGGTGCAGGCACAAGGGGAGGCGGGTCCGCAGGTACCTGTGTGTAGTGGGTGCACATGGCCCCTGAGCACCGCTCGGGACACCAGGGATTGCACTCGTGGGGATAGGGGTAAGTGTAGTCAGTCACTTCGTCATACCAGGACTGCACGTGGAAGCCAGGAGAGCGGTACCTGCGGGGGCAGAAAGTGGTCACGTCCCAGCCACACACCCACCAATAGGGACCCACGTTCCTAAGCCCTGCCACCTCCCAGACCAGGCTGGATGGGATGCTTTTGGGGCAAAGCCCCTCACTTCCCAGCACCTGTTAATGGTATCTGAAACCTGCTCCCTGGAGGGCCTGAGCTGCCTCTCAGTGCAGGGCACTCCACCTGGCCCCCAGGGGGCCCTTTTCCTTATTAATTATGTTTTTATTCTCCTGTCCACTCTGGAAAATAAACAGCCCAAGAAGCCTACTTTTCAGATACTACTGCTTAGCACAACACTCAATTTTAGGTGTGAGTCCAAGTGTCGGTGGTGTGGCTCAGGGATGGAGCACCTGTCCGGCACTGTGGGGGGGAAAAAAAAAAGACATGAATCCAGGTGAAGTCAATGTAGAGACTTAAGTACATGGCTGAAAGCTGGCACTCAGGATACCACTGTGCAAAGGGTCTGAAAGCTGGGAAGTGCCAGGTTGTGGGGGACAGGGCACAGGGGTCCCACTGCTCCTTACAGGCCACACTTGAGAGCCGCCCCCATGCGTGGGCTTCACAGTAAGGGGCTGGCAAACACTAATTATCTGGAATATTGTCACAGCCTGCCCCTTCATGACCACACCAGGAGGACCTGAGCACCTGTCCCTATGACAACACCATGAGGTAATTGCTCTGGAGTCACTGTCCCCTGCTCAGGTCCACCTGTCAGGTACGTATCATTTTGTTTGGGGTTTTTGTTGCTGTGAGAAACAGGATCATAGAGTACAGGCTGGCCTCGAACTCATAAGCCTCCTGCCTCGGCCTCCAGAGTACTAGGATTTCAGGCAAGCGCCATTACGCCCAACCCTGATGTGTTTTGTTTTAACCAGGAAAGAAAATAAACTGAATGCTAATCCACGGTCAGTGTGTCACCAGCAAGTGTAAACGAAGTGGTTTCAATTAAGAGAGACGTTCAGGGCAAAATGACCGTGTGTGCGAGAGGTGCGGTCAGTGAGGCAGTTAGAGGTCTTGTAACAATTACTGTCTGGCCCCAGTGCGAGTGCCGTGGTCAGTGAGGGCTGGGGACCCAGCCTTTGGTCCTGGGCCAGCCAGCAGGAAGCCTGCCACATCCGCCGTGCACACAGTCTAACAGGGTTTGGAAAAGGAACCCTGAATCGCCATGGGCCATAGTGTGAGAAGCCCGCACTTTTTGGGGGGGCAGTACTGGGGACTGAACTCAGGGCCTCACACTTGCTTGAGCTGCGCCCCCAGCCTGGGAGAAGCTCTTTGGTCGGGGGAAGGGAGCAAGTTACGGGAATGCAGCAAGTAGGGCAGGCCTCTGACCCACCAGCGTTCCCCACAGGGGTCACTAATCGAGTGACTTAAAACAAAACCAAGACTCGAGAATGAAGGGGTGAGTGTCAGTCTGTCAGCTTGACAGGCCACCAACTGTCACAGGCAATTGTCTGTGATGCCATTTAGTGAAAATCTGTCTGATACTATGAGAAGAGGGAGGAAAAAAAAGAATTAAAATCCATCTGGGCTAGAGTTACAACTATGAAAAATATGCTGGCATCCCGCCAAAGGCTACAAAGGTGCTCAGAAAATGGAGAGCTTGGCCAGGCTGGTGGACTTCTGCATCCCTCACCCCCCTTAGACGTTTTGTTTTTTTCTTGTGGTTCCAGAGTTGGAACCTAGAGCCTCAAGCCTAGTAGGCAAGTGCTCTCCCACTGAGCCGCACCCCCAGCCCTGGAATTTCTTTTACTATCATCAGACTGTGTTTATGAAAAGCAAACACACCAAAGGACAAAATAGTGTCATTCCCCTCTATGAAGTCGCACCTCTGGTCCTTTGTCACTGGCCTAAGGAGAGTGTGGTCCCTTACAGCCATCTGAAACACTGGATTTGAAGTGATAGGGAACCCTAGCTCTATTATGACAGGCTATTTAAAGTCCAGCCCGTGCCCACCAACAGAACGAGGCAGAAGCAGACCTGAGGCCCTGGAACACGGCTGGCTGGGTGTGAGGACGTGAACTGGACATTTTGGCCCAGACACTCCCAGGTTGGTTGTGCAGTCTTCACTGGTCAGTAGCCGTTGTCCTGGCCATGGTCAGGACACCTTCCCTGCTTGCTTCAGTGAAGCAGTCTCACCTGGAGGGACTCTGGCCTCTCTGGGTACCGGGCACATGGCCAGGTCTACGTCATGGAGGGCCAGTTGGCTATATTTGACAGACAACTGCCAATGCTGCCTTTGGGAGGTGGCTGAGTGTCCTGCCTCTGAGGGTCAGAAAAGCCAGGGAGGCTCCCAGTGGCAGGGCAAGGGGGAATTACAGGGTAGAGAGGATGGTGACAGCCCCAGGGATAATGGCATCTCCACCTCAGCTACCCCAGCAGCCCTTCCTTGCCAGCAGAAAGTGCAACTCCAAAGCCCTTTAGCAGGACAGGAATGGAAGCCTGCACTCTGAGTCCTGGTCCAGTCCTCAGACCTGGTATTGGCCATCCACGCTCCAATCCCTTTAGCCATTTACTTGGAAGTCTTCCTGGTGCCAAGCCTCGCTTTCCCCACATGCCTATGGGGTGGCTGTACTCCCTTCCCCTGTCCATAACTTCAACAACAGGGTCACCAACATTCTCTGCGGTACAGGCCCAGCTCATGGAGAGGGGGACTTTGGCTGCTCAGGGAGCCTGTGGCTCTTACCTGCCCCAGTGCACGGCCAGGTTCTGCCCAATGGACACCAGCAGGCTAGACGGCCCATGCTCCCAGAGACACTCCTGGGCCCATGCTGTAGCTGACCTCTCCAGCTCTTCATCCCAGGTCTGCAGGGGGAGGAGAGGCAAAGGGCAGGGGTCAGGGTCAGGGCAAGGTCAGGCCAGAGGTCCCCGAATCCCAGGAAACCATGGTGTTTTTCATGCTGGGAAGCACCAGAGCTCCGGTTCAGTCTGTCACTGCTGTGACCCTAGACAGGAGCCTCTGCTCTTGGCCTGTGTGTGACACAGGATTGGGGGTGCTGAATGCTGTCATCAGGAGGCCTGCCACCTGTCCTGATGACTTACTCCCTTTGAGTAAGTGTGCACCGGGCCTTGGTTATCCAAACCTTTCCTTGCGTTCTAACTGTGGCCTTTGAGATTGACACTCTTACCATTTTATAGAAATGATAATGGAAGCTCTGATCACAGCCAGCTGGTCTAGACCCTATCCTCACCACACCTGTCCCTCAACAGGTGCTGCCTCTGGAGGCCAATGGTGTCTCCATCCCCATGCTGGGGACCACCTGACACCCCACAATACACACCTCACCTACCTAGAAATGAGGAGACAAGCACAGCTCACTGTGTACCAAGACCCTTCCAGGAATGGCCAGCCAAGGCCTTTCCTATGACAATGTTAATATGTTGACTACCAGCCCCACACCCCCACCCCAAAACTGTCCCAAAGTGCAGCAGGAGAACACAGGGCCACCACAACCCTGGGGACCTGGTCTCCCCTCCCGTTGCATGCTCTGCACTGTCACGGTTAACATAAAATCCCAGGAGGTGTCCTTACAAAGCAGCCCTCCAAGGCAGGCTGTGTGGCCAGCCCAGGAGCTCATAGCTATGGCTACACCTTGGTGTGAGCCAGTCCCTGCTGTCACCATCACCTGCCCCATGGAGCTGTCGATCTCCACCACCACACAGCAACAGCATCTCTAATCGCAACGGAGCTTCTCCTCCTGAAAATGTTCTGTTTCTTTATTTACTACAGTGCTGGGGATGGAACCCAGGACCTCACGCATGCTAGGCAAGCACTCCACCGCCGAGCCACACTGCAGCCTTTCACCATGCTGTCTCATACACTCAAATACAGGCAGGTGTCTCACCTGGCTTCAGAGCCCTAGTGATCTGCCCTGCCTCCTCCAACAGCCTCACTTCCTCACAAATGAGCCTCAACCCCACCAGCTTCTGAGAGCTGTTCTGAGGTTCCAAGCTTGTTTCCCTTGAAGAAAAGAGACTCCCGAGGTGGTGGGGTTTGCACCTTCTGTTTCCTGTGCCCACTATGCCCTTCCCTGCACACTTGTTCTCCCTCTCCAGATCTCCACTTGAGCGCCTCTCCCACAGGGCAGCCACCACAACAACGGACCTCTCCAAGGTCAGGCCTCTCCAAGCCCTTGTGTTATTTCTTCCAGCTCCTGTCCTCCGTCCCCTCCAGAATGTTGACCAGTGTCATGACCGACAAGTAGTATTTATGGTGCTCCATAAAAACTTGCTGGATGTATCATCAGGAGGTTCCACGGGGACCTCAACTGCTCTGTCTTCTCTTTATATCAAGACCCTTGCAGTGTATGGGGCACACAGCAGGCACTCAATACATGCACACAACTAACCAGTTAACCAAATCCCAGGTGTGTGGAAGGCAGAGAAGTAGAGAAGGAAGCCCAGCCTGACTTCCAGCCACTCATGAGACATTTGCCCAGCACCTGCTCTGTCCAGGTTTGGGGACAGTTAGGGTGGCTTGGAATCAAAGCTTTGCAGCTTGGAGCTATGTGGCACATGCAAGGCCTTTCAGGGTGAGCCTCTGAGAGCCTCAGTTTCTCACCTGCAGGGTTGTAACACTGTCTGCCCAGAGGACTCAACAGGACACAAGTCACAGGGCATGACACCACCACTCAATGGTCCTGTCACAGCCCAGCTCCCACAGCAGCTCTGGAGAGGAGATGGGCACCCGCCCCCACCCAGTTGCCACTGGAGCATGGCCACCAGGCAGAGGGCCAGCTCAAGCCACAGCAAAGAAGCCAGCATGACCAGTTTGAAGTCTAAGATGAAAATATATCATCCGTGAGAGTGACCCGGGAGGCTGCAGGCCCCTTCCAAGGCCCCACCGAGAGCCCCCGGAGAAGACCAAGTTCTCAGTTGCTGAGGAAGACCTGCATTTGTTGTTGTTTGGGGTTTTTTGTTTTAGATGGTACTGAGGTTTGAACTCAGGGCCTAGAGCTTGCTAGGCAGGCACTCTACATGAACCACATGCCCAGTGCATTTTTGCATTAGGGTCTTGCTTTTGCTTAGGGATGACTTGGAACCTTGATCCTCCCATCGGTGCCTCCCATATAGCTGGGATGACAGGTGTGTGTGACCATGCCAGGATTGTTTGTGAGATTGGGGCCGGGGTGGGGGTGGGGGGGATTCTCACTCACTTTTTGTCCCAGCTGGCTTCAAATCACATTTCTCCCAATCTCTACCTTCTGAGTAGCTGGGATTACAGATACGAGTCACTGTGCCCAGCAGACCTGTGTTTTAAAAGCTACTCAGAGCTAATGGACGAACAGGTGGAGGCTCCTGGTCAGTGGCAAGCAATGACCCAAACAGGTCGCCATCCAGTTCCCTGTGGCTCTGGAAACCCAGCCAGGGAGAAAGTTTCCATACTGCATCTTAAGGAGAAATGACAATATCACCCATCCACACCTGGAAAGCCCATGCCAAGACCCAGCAGGGCTGACCTCAACTGCCTCTGTTACCCTTGGCAAAGGCTGGAATCAGAGGAAGCAGACTTCAAGACGCAGAAGCTTACAGAGATGCTAAGTAACCTCTCCAAGGTCAAACATCTAGCAAGCAGAAGACCAGGACCCAAACTCAGCAGACTGGCTCCCACCCTGAGTCCCCAAGAAGGATGGGGAGGGGTCTGCGCTCCAAACCCCAATAAGTCTGCCATGATTATCTGTATTTCAACCCTAAAAGGGTTTGCACAAGGTACCTAATACATTACATTTTGAAAGTGTCCTAAAATTAGCCTAATCCTCTGGAATAATGCCTGCCTGATTTTTGTTTTGTTTTGTTTCTGTTTGCCTGATTTTCTTGAAGGAACAAAGAAGCAGTTTCAGATAACATCCCCCAAGACAGCCTGGCTCAGGACCCCGCCATTCACTCATTCCAGGTATCAGTGTGCAGGAGCGGCCACTAGGGGCTTGTGGGTGGTCTCTGACCTCCAGGCCACGATTGCCAGAGTACAGTGAATGGGGGGTGTGGGGTCCTAGCTGGGGTGGGCAAGTGGAGGCAGGGGAACAGTCTGCTGAAGCAAAGAAAGAGATAAATCTCAGTGGCAGGGAGCCTGCCACAGACAGGAAGGCTGGAAGGAAGAGAATTGGGCAGGATTCAGAATAGGCTGGGAGGTGACTGCCGCATAACCTGGGTGTGACAGTGGCTGAGGGTGCGGCTAGACACAGGTATCCATCTGGGCTCAGCGCTTCCCAGCTGTGACCACTGTTTCTGATTTCCCAGGGTCGGGAGGATGGGAAGCAGCACTGTCAGGAACGGGGTGGCAGAGGGAAGCAGGGTGGGGGGGTGAGGCCTGTAGACCCAAGCTGTCCAGCATGGCAGGGTCCACTGCTTAAATTTAACTTAATTCAAATGAAGTTGAATTAGATGTTGAGTTCATCAGTCATGCTGGCGATATTTCAAATGCCCAAAAGCCACACACAGACAATGCTGTAAAGAACGTTCTCAAGCCAGGCCTGATGGTGCTGTGATCCCAGTACTCGGGAGGTAGAAGCAGGGGGATGGAGAGTTCAAGGCCAGCCTGTAGTGAGACCCTGACTCAAACCACATAAATCCAAAGACCGTTCTCCTGGGTAACATGGCCTTAGACTAAGGGACTGGAAACTTCCACTGGGCCCTGGATGGGGATGACTTTGGCAGGCTGGCTCCCCCCATTCCTAAGCATGGCATTCCTCAGGTTCAGAGGGGATCCTCCACTGCCCCTTTCTGCAGTATCATCTCCCACAGACACCCCATTCCTCACAGACCACCACCCAGGCTACTTAGGGAAGATGGGGCCAGAGAGGAATAGAGACAGAGCTGGATGACAGTGGCCCCAGTGTTAGAAACCTCAGAGCACCCTCTCATCCACTGTCACAGAACACTGTGAGTAGCAATTTCAAAGTGGAAACTGAGGCTCCAGCTCATCCAGAGCTCTTGGACATCCAACGGGGATGTCCAAGTCACACAGCTTGACAGTGGTAGAGTGGGAACCAGAATCACCAGTGCCCACCCTCAGTTGCTCCCCGAGTCCCCATGTGAAAATGGGGTGGCTTCTGTGCCAACAGAGGTACCACGAAGGCGTGAGCAACAGGCAGCCTTTGCATACTGAACCCATGAGGTTGCTTTGGCAGAGACAAGAAGGGAACCTGGGATGTCCTCTTGCCAGAAGACCCTGGGCCTGCCACCTGCCACCGACTAGGCAGTGAGATGGGTGCTCACCATGTACTCCATGTTGGAGGCAGGAGGGGACACCTGGCCCCGCATTCTGTTGTGCAGCAGGAGGATCTCCTCGCGGTCCGCCCTGGGGATGGCCCTCCGGGTGCGGGAGTGGGGCTCCGCCTGGTATCTGCCCAGCAGCTTTTCCAGCTTCGTGACGTTGGGCAGGAAGAAGCCTTGAGCTCGCAGATCAGCAGTGCCAGCCCCACAGGGATAACACCACTCAGGATGTAGTTCATGGCCAGACACCTGGAGTCTCAACCGGGGACAGGGCAGTATGGGCTCCTCACTCAGAGCTGGAGGTTCAAGAGCTCTGGAAGAAAGAGAGGAAGTGGGAGGAGAAGACAAGTTAGTATAGAACCAGTGACAGCGTCTGGCCAAGCACTGACTGGAGCAGCCGTAATCCTTTCCGTGGTACAGATGAGGAAACTGAGGCTGCAAAACCAGAATCCGATGACAGGAAGTAGTAGAGCTGGGTTTCCAGCACAGTAAGTGTCTGGGTTACAAATGATATTTCCTGGACTTGCTTCCCCTGGACTCAAGTCCCTTGCCACCATATTTTCTAATTGTGAGGTCACCTGGGCCTGAATTAAGTTCCATCTGCTACCCCTGAAAGGGACCAATAAAAGTTATTTTATGTCACCAAGAGATGCATGGACCATGAGCCGACATCAGTTGCAAACTTCCTAGTCCCTGAAGTAAAACTCAAGTTTACTGAGTTAGTCATCAGGCCTCATGTGAGGCCCATCACTGCCCAAGACCCTCATGGTCCTCCCATGGGGCAGCCCCACAGACTGGTCACCCAGAGCCCAGGAAGGATTCAGCTGCATGCACAGCAGAGCTCCTACCTGCTAACTTGACCCTGGGAGAAAGTAACAGCGCAATGGGCAGGGTGGCAAGGGGTGACCCTGAATCCCACTTGTCCCATCCCTGCTAGGCAAACTCACAGCTGTTTCCAATGTGTCCCCACCAAAGTTCATCCCCCAATTCACATTGATGGTATACACAGGCGGGGCCTTTGGGAGGTAGTTCCCATCCCTTCCCTTCCCTTCCCTTCCCCATGATGGCATTAGTGGCTTTATAAGAAGCACACTGGCTCATGCCTGTAATCCTAGCTACTCCAGAAGCAGAGATTAGAAGAACTATAGTTCAAAGCCAGCCTGGGAAAATAGTTCTCAGGACCCTATCTTCAAAAATACTCAACACAATGAAGGGCTAGCAGAGTGACTCAAGTGGTAGAGTGCCTGCCTAGCAAGCATGGAGCCCCGAGCTCAAACCCCAAAACCCCAGTACCACCAAGGACAAGGACAAGAATGAGGAGGAGGAGGAGAAGGAAGAGAAGGAAGAGGAGGAGGAGGATAGAAAAAGGATCCCGGCTGGCACACTTGCTCTGTCACCATGTGATGCTGTCCCATGCTGTGACGAAGCAGGAAGGCCTCACCACTACCAGCACCGTGCTCTCGACTTCCAGCCTCCAGAACTGTAAGCCAAACAAGCCTCTATTCTTTGTGAATTACCTGGTTTCTGATAGGCTCAGAAAATGGATAAAGAACCCACTGAAGAGCCAAGAACAAGATCTCCCCCTCCACCAGCCCCTGCTGACCACGAGCTTGTCACAACTGGATGCGGACCTTTGGGCTGCTAAGTCAGTGGTTCTGATGGGTAACTGGTCCCGATGACTGAATCAGTTACCTGCTATTGATCAGGTCCAGACAAATATGCGTTACTTTGCTGGACTTGAGCCAAGTCTCTGGCCATGGATAAAACCAACGCCAGCACAAGGGCTTGGAAAGAAGGCAGTGGCCTGGGTCTCTTGGATGCCCTGGTCCTGTCTTTGAGATTCATTTCCCAAGAGTTCTAATCCTGGCACACACTGGAGCTAGGGGACCTTGGGGTCCGGTCTCCAGCTCACACCTCAGTTGGGAACTGCCCCTCACAGAGATCCAGGGTGCCCACAGCCTTGTCAAAGACACTGAGCATGTCTGCAACAACAGCTTCCTAACTTTTACTGCCCCAGTCCTACAAGCGGACACTTCCAATGCCAAGGTCAGCTAACGCCATGCCTTCATTCCTTCAGCAAGCCCATCATAAGTGTCTATGCAAGTCAGCCACTTAGTTTTGCATTTCTCCATCATCATGCTGATGCCCAAGGTCCATCTGTTATCACACCTATTTTACAGATTGGAAGGCTGAGACCTACAGTGGCAGCCAGATCAGACCAAGCCCACCCTACAGTAAGTGGAGATGCTGAGTCTGGAACGGATGGCTATGAAAACCTGGAATTTTCCTGACTCCAGGAGCCAACTGTCTCACTTCCATAAACCTGGTTTGGCCTCTGAAAAATACTCACTATTGGTTTAAGCAGACAAGAGCAGGGTTGAGTGTGTCCCTCACACCCTTGCCTCTTTCCATTCCCAAGGGAGGGTCAGTGGCCACCTGGTGGCCTTCGCCAAGCACCTGTGTTGTGTGGGACCTGCAGGTGAAGAGGACACTGTCCCTGGCCTCAGAAGCCCTCAGCAGGCTCAGGGAGATCAAGGAGGAAGCGCACAGTTCCCACGTGGCAGGACAAGGCTGCCCACAGTCTACAAGACCAGGGCTCCAGAACTCTGCTGGATGGGAGGGTGGGAGCCATGGCCTGCTCTGACCCACCCAGTACCTGAGGGGCTCAGTCCCTTCAGCCAGTCCCCCTGGTCTTCACCCCCACAGCAACATGTCTGAAGCCATCTGCAGGCTGGGATTATACAGCGTGTTGGTAAGGCAGAACAGAAGTAGAGGCCAAGATGGACATCCTGGGAAGGAAACCCCCGGTATAGGAGGCAGAGCACACGGTGGGGGACCAAGGGATTGCTGCAGTTCCAATCTGGGCCCTGGACACACTAGGTCCTGACTGCCCTGCGCACAGACAAAAATAGCTTGCATCTAGAAGAAGTTTGGCTTTGACTTCTTTGTAGTGTGCTGGATGGCTGCTCTCCTCCAGAAGGAGGTGACCTCCCAGGCCAGGGCCCAGGGGACAGACGAGCAGGGAGAACCATTGTATGCTTGCTGGCTCCTGGGAATCAAACCAAGAATGCAGAACTTCTGCGTTCCCGAGCACCTCCATATATGTGCATTTCCAGCTGCTGAAGACCAGGCCAAAGAACAAACTTCAAGAACATGCTGATGCTCAGTTGACATGTGAGGGCAGGAACTGACATCCTCGCGTCATGATGACGCTCCATCTGTTCTACTCTATGCTGGAGTAGTGTGAGACGTGGGGCCCAAAGACACAAAGCACGAACTGTCAGGTGGCTACTGTGACCAACCAGATGAAAACCTGGGCCAGATTGAAGTACACAACTCAGAGGGCCATCAGCAGGGGGAGTGGTGAATCCATGATGTGGGGAGTGGGGGATAGTGTGGTAGAATATTATACAGCAGGTAAAATGAACAAACTAGGGTTATGTGTTGGCCTTAATAAATATGAAATACAATGATAAGCTTAAAAATAGGTTATAGAATATTATGGTAATGACACTAATCATGTAACTTTTTTAAAGGGGGCTGGGGCTGTAGTTCAGTGGTAGAACAATAGCCTAGTGTTGCATAAGACTCAGGGTTCCATCCAGCACTATGTATTTGTATGTGCAAATATATATACATATATATATATATACATATACACACACACATGTATATATGATCATATTTTGCATAACCTATGGATATGTGTAGACATGTGCCTTGTGTGTCTGTGTACATGTGTGTGATTGAACCAGGACTGAATTCAAACCAAGGTCGTGGTGAGGATGCCTTGGGGTAGGGAATAGAACTGGGGAGAAGAATAAGAAGCTTCATCTCTATCTTTAATGTCTTACTTATTTTGGAGAGGGCGGTATTGGAGCTTACACTTGCTAGGCAGGTGCTCTACCACTTGAGCCATACTCCCAGGCATATTTTTTAAATTCAAGCAAATATGGCAAAATGTTGCCATCTGTTCAGGTGAGGGGCACAGGCTGGTTGGCAGGCACCGAGAGATGGTGACGGGTGGTGGGCTCATGCTGTCCTTTGTATTTGCTCCAAACGCATCCTCCGGCCCGCACTGTCTTCTTTGGAACACTAAAAGGCCTTCTGGCTTGCAGGCCAGATCCTGGGGTGGGGGTGAGGTCCCCAGGGGAGTCCTGATGTCTCGGGGGAGCTGCAGTGCTACAGAGCCACAGAGCCCCATGGCACCTCCGGGTGGAAGAGGACAGAAGTTAGAGAGCAGGGGCACCTGGTTTCTCCAAGGTCTTCCTGCACCTCCCTTCTGGCCGCTGGCCTGGGTGAAGCCATTCAAGGCAGCATAGTGCTGGGCGACAGCCAGTATGGGATCTGAAGTAGCAGCTACCTGGGCCAAAGCTGGAGCTCAAGGAGGTGGATCTATGCTGGGGAAGGGCTGGGACCAGATGAATGGCTCCTGCCAAGTTTGGGCGGTTAGAGAGCACCAAAGCTTTAGTGGAGAAGTGAGGGGAGCAGGACCGGCCATCCCATTTTATCTGCGTCCCAGAGCCCAGCACTGGCCTGGCACATAGCAAAGGAGCAGGTGACTATGGGCTCAACTCTGTCCCCCCAAATTCAAATGCTGGAGCCCTAACCCAGTGCCTCAGAGAATGACTGTATTTGGAGACGAGGCCATTGAGGAGGAACTTAAGTTCAAATGTCCTTCAGGTGGCCCTGATTCTGTCTGACTGCAGTCCTTATAAGAGGAGATCGGGGCATGGGCACACACAGAGGGAAAAACCACGTGAGTCATGGAGACAGCGGGGGAAGAGAAATCAGGAGTAGCCCGCTCTGCCTACAACTCCATCTTGGGCTTCTGGCCTCCATATGGTCGCTGTGCTGAGTTATGGCAATCCCAGCAGATAACTCCCACATCAGATCACAAACAAGGTGGTTCCAGCTGCTGAGTGGAAGCAGGGAGGCAGGAGGGAAGCAGAAAGGCAAGTTCAGAGGCCGGATGGTCTGGGTAGAACCTGGTCATGCTGTGAAAGCAGCAAGTCCCCGACCAGGGCTGGGCTCACAGAGACACAGTGCAGTCTCCTGGGCCCCCACTGCCAAACCGCTCCATCAGAACTGGGATGAAGTGCTTCTGCACTTTTCCATCTACAATTACAAACACATGCTTTTCCCAAGCATGCATGCTGCTCCAGCTGTCGGGGTTTACCAGTGATAGTGTGTGCCTGCCAGGGACCCCAGGGGATGGGACTTCTGTGAGAAAGACCTGCCCTGTGAGGCTGTCACCTTCATCCTTCATCATTCATCAGCCCCAGCCATGTTCGTGATTACATAGTTACCCCA